CCTTTGCCTTTTTGAACCTGGCCGACTTCTTTTAAGATGGTGTTTCCGGTTCCATCCATTTACCTGCAAGTGACAGTGTAGAGAGAGTATAAGCAATAACAGGAAGGGACAAGGGTTTTTGCTGGTTGAGATAAGGATAGCTACACAGGGTATTGACTCACATTGATTTCCTGTGCGTGGGTGTACTTCTAGGTTAATTCTTTTTGATCTAACTTTTCTCTAGTACCTGTTTCCCCTTCTCCTATTGCCTCAGTTGCTTTTTAGGTATCTGCTTTAGTTTCTCTGCGTTAAGGGGCAAAATGCTAGCTAATTTTTTAGGTGTCTTACCTATCCTACCCCTCTTGTGTGCTCTCGCTTTTTCATGTGCTCAAGTCAGTCCCCTTGTTGTGTTTGCCCTTGATCTAATGTCACATATGAGGGAGAATACGATTTTTGGTCTTTTGGGCAGGCTAACTCATCAGAATGATGTTCTCCAATTCCATCCATTTAAGCGAATGATAACATTTTCGTTCTTCTTCATGGCTTGCATAAAGTTCCATTGTGTAATAGATACCACATTTTCTTAATCCAATTCGTCGGTGGTGGGGGCATCTTGGCTGTTTCCATAACTTGGCTATTGTGAATAGTGCGCATATAAACATGGGTGTGCAGGTGCTCTGAGTACTGTGTCAAGTCTTTTGGTATATCCCCAAGAGTGAATACCACATTTTCTTAATCCGTTCATCAGTTGTGGGGCATCATGGCTGTTTCCATAGCTTAGCTATTGTGACTGGTGTTGTAATAAACATGGGTGTGCAGGTGCCTTTGTTGTAACCTGATTCATATTCCTTCAGGTATATCCCTAGGAGAGGTATTGCTGGGTCATATGGCAGATCTATTTTTAGTTTTTTAAGGAGCCTCCATACTGTTTTCCATAGTGGTTGTACTAGCTTACATTCCCACCAGCAGTGCATGAGGGTTCCTTTTTCCCTGCATCCTCACCAACATTCATTGTTGTTTGTGTTCTTGATGGTAGCCATTCTGACAGGGGTGAGGTAGAATCTTAATGTGGTCTTGATTTTCATTTCCTTTATCGCCAGGGATGTTGAACATTCCTTATGTGTTCTTTAGCCATTTGGACTTACTCCTTTGAAAAGACTCTATTCAAAAAAAAAGAAAAGACTCTATTCAGTTCATTTGCCCCTTTCTTAATGGTGTCATTGATTTTTGGCGAGTTTAGGTTTTTGAACTCCCTAAATATTCTGGTTGTTAAACCCTTGTCAGAGATATAGCTGGCTAAGGTTTTCTTCCATTGTGTAGGTAGCCTCTTCAATTTAGAGACAGTTTCTTTTGTTGTGCAGAAGCTTTTTAGTTACCTGTAGTCCCATTTGTCAATCCTTTCTCTTAGTTGCTGAGCCTGTTGAATTCCATTTAGGAAGTCATTGCCTATGCCTATTAGTTCCAGTGTATTTCCTGCACTATCTTCAAAGTTTCAGGTCTTATATTAAGGTCCTTAATCCACTTTGATTTGATACTTGTTCAGGGTAAAAGACATGGATCTAGTTTCAGTTTTCTGCATCTAGATATCCAGTTTTCCGAGCAACATTTGTGGAAGAGGCTGTCTTTTCTGCATCATATGTTTTTGCATCTTTGTCAAAAATCAGGTGAGTGTTACTGCGTGGATTCATAGCTGGGCCTTCTATTCTGTTCCATTGGTCTTCATGCCTGTTTTGGTGCCAATACCGTGCTGCTTTTATTGCTATGGCTCTGTAGTATAATTTAAAGTCAGGTATTGTGATACCTTCAGTGTTGCTTTTTTTGCTCAGTATTGCCTTGGTTACTTGTGGTCTTTTGTGCTTGCATATGAACTTAAGGGTTGATTTTTCAAATCTCTGTGATAAAATGTCATTGGAATTTTGGTGGGGATTACATTGAACATGCAGATTTCTTTTGGTAATATAGCCATTTTCCTAATATCGATTGTGCCAATTGATGAGCGTGGGAATTCCATTTTCTCTAGTTTTCTTCTATTTCTTTCTTCAATGGTTTATTGTTTTCATAGTGGGGATCTTTTGCTTCCTTCGTTAAGTTTATTCCTAGGTATTTAACTTTTTGAGGCTATTGTAAATGGAATTATTTTCCTGTATTCTTTCTCAGTTTGTGTGCTATTGGTATATAGAAAGGCTACTGAAAAAAAACAAAAAAGACGGGCTACTGAGGTTTTTTTTTTTTTTTTGGCAACCCTGGGCTTTGAACCCAGTACTTTATGCTTGCTGGGCAGGCACTCTTAACACTTGAGCCATTCTGCCAGCCCTAGCTAGTGATTTTGTATCCTGCTACTTTGCTGAATCTGTTTATTGTATTCAGGAGTTTTTTGGTGGCATTTTCCAGGTCTTTTGAGATCATGTCATCTGCAACTAGGGATAGTTTGACTTCTTCCTTTCCTATTTGTATTCCTTTTATTTCTTCTTCCTGTCTTATTGCTCTGGCTAGGAATTCAAGACTATGTTGAATAAAAGTTGAGAGAGTAGACACCCTTGTTCCTGACTTTAGAGGGGATGGTTTCAGTTTTTCTCCATTTAGTATGATGTAGGCTTGTCTTATATAGCCTTTACTATGTTAAGGTAAATTCCTTCTATTCCTAGTTTCATCAGAGCTTTTCTCATGAATGGATGTTCAATTTTGTCAAAGGGTTTTTCTGCATCCCTTGAGATGGTCATGTGGTTTTTGTCTTTGCTTCTGTTAATATGCTATATTATGTTTAATGATTTGCATATGTTGAACCATCCTTGTGTCCCTGGGATGAAACCAAATTGGTCATGGTATATGATCTTTTTGATATGTTGTTGTTAGGTTTGCCCATATTTTATTTAGAATTTTTGCATGTAGGTTCATTAAAGTATAATTCTCTTTTATTATTGTGTCATTCTTTGGTTTTGGGATGAGTGTAATACTGGCTTCATGGAATGATTTTGGCAGTGTTCCTTCCCTTCCTATTTCATGAAAAAGTCTGAGGGGTGTTGGTATTAGTTTTTTAAAGGTCTGGTAGTATTCATCAGTGACTCTGTCAGGTCCTGAAAACTTTTCTTTTCTTTTTTTTTTTTTTTGGGAGACTCTTTATTGCTGCTTCAATTTCATTGCTTTTTATAGATCTGTTTTAGGTGATTTATATGTGAAGCTAAATAATATTGCTAGTAATTGGAACCCAGGTAATTTGATTGCAGAGTTCAAACCATACTGTACTCCAGTAGACTCCCAAATCATATGAGAGAGAGAGAGAGAGAGAGAGAGAGAAAGAAAGAATCATGCAGGAAATAGTTCCATGTGTGACTAGAGATAGATTTATGCATGGGAGTGGTAGAGTTGAGGCAGAAAGAGTTGGCTAAATTAAATTACTAATATCCTAGTATATCATGATAAGGAATTTAAATTCTGTTCTGTGGCTAATGGATTTCATCTCAAATTTAAGCTTAAGAATTACATCATGATAATTTAACATTGGGAAGAAAGCTCTGACTATGTAACAGGAATGATGATAAAAATGATTGGGCAACTCTCTGATAACATAAATTGAATAATTCAGTTGATAGAACTTACGATAAACTCTTTAAACTAAGGTATTTGGAAATGCTGTTTTCTCAAGCATGCTCTGTAATCAGACATTTACGGTATATAATATAGAACAGGAACTCACTCCCTTTTTATTGATTTATTTTTGGTATGAATTAATGTGCTATGTCATTTTTTTAGTGTCCTCTGTTGTAATTCTGTGATATTTAGATATAGAAGTAGACAAATCTAATTTTATTATTATAGTCCTAAAAGGCTTAAATTATAGTCCTAAAAGGCTTAATGATTGACACCCCTTCCCTTTTCTCCCCAATTAGTGCTCCTCTCTTTTCTCTCTCTCTCTCTTTCTCTCTCTCGTGCTCATTCTCTTTCTCTCTCTTTCATCTACACATGTGCTCCTACATAAACCCTTTTGTGGGAGAGACATTCTCATTCTGTTGAGTGATACGAAATTCAGACTAGGGAGAAGATTTCAGGTATAAGGGAAAGAAAGTAGTGTTTAACAGTTGGTGCTAAAACCACACCTAAGCTGTTTATTTGCTACCATTGTCCTCGCACCATTCTTTGAAACTATGGGCCTGACACCAGTTCCCTGAGGATGTCTGCTCTTTTCTGTACTACTCATCAAGTGTAACTCAAGTTGTACTTGACTCTTTTGTGGCATCTCTTCCTGATTTCTCCTTTGAGATTATACTTGAAGTTTATTTCAGTTAGATTCCCTTGAGAGAATGCTATGAATGTGGGCCCAGAATAAGTCCTGTATTCTCATTTATTAAAATTCTATTGAAGGCAGGAGGATTGTAAGTTCAAGGCCAGTCTGAGTATATAGCAAGTTTGAGGCCAATCTGGGTTACATAGCAATACCCTGTCCCCCCAAAATTTTCTCATTTGTCCTTTATGGTGACACTAACCAGTTCTTATTTTTCTCTTCTGTTACTTGGAACTTTGAGGCATGGGATATTCAGAACTGGACAGGACTTGATAGAGATTAATTCTTTAATCTCGTCAATACTACACTATTGCCATCTTGATAATAATGTGGTAGGCACTGTGGCAATTACCACCTTAACAGCAAGGAAAGTTGACCACCTTCACAAATAAGAAAACAGGTCAAGAAAGGAGATTGAGACATATTCCCAAGGTCATGCAGCTGCTAAGTGGTAGCACCTGGATTTAACTTCAGGCTTCTCTCACTGTAAATCCTGTCTCTTTTTCCCTATAAACTACTTGTCTTTCAGCTAGCGATTTATACAGATATTTGAAAGGAGACAGGATTATTGTGTTTCTGTTTTCTAATATGTCACGTTTTTATTTTAGACTTCAAAAATTTGAAATGGAAATATAGAGACATTTGTTAAAATTCTAAATGCAATTTGTTAACGTTTCTAGTGGAGAATTGCTAGTCTTGTCTCAAATGCAGCAGTTATCAGGAGTGGATTTTCTCTCTCTAGTTTTAAGACAAAGTTGGCTGCAGCGTTGGCAAGATGTCGCATCAAGCACGACGCCCTTTCCATCTACCACATCCTACCCGAAATGGTGAGGAAGCAGGAGCTCAGGGCCTCCATGCTGCCACTTTATGCTTGGATAAATACTTGTAAGATCAGGTCAGAGTTTCAATCAAATTCTATGTTCCTACTTCTGGTCTCCATCTTTTTAAAATAATGATGAGAAATAGTGCCTTTCTAAGGGCAGTGGGGGACACATGTAGGGGAGTGACTAGAGAATCATTAATTTCCAGATCATAGCACCAGTTCACCAAAAGTAATTACACAAATATGCTAATACACAAATACGCTAACTTTTTTGTTTCTAATTATCTCTTAACTAATTATTGGCTGAAATTGCAAGTTTCATTAAATGTAGTGTATGCAGTGATAATTTTTTTTGTTGTAGGAAAAAGATGTTAATATTAAATACATTTTAATGTGTCATATTTGTAATTACACCCTAACGTATATTTACAGCGCTGAAGAAGTTTATAGTAATTTGAAGAAAAAAGGCTTCACTAGAGTCAAATCTGTGTTGCACGTTGATGATAAAGTCTTTGCTGTGGACCAACACTGCCATGATGTCTTAATTTTTCCGTCTCATTTTAAAAAAGATCTTATAAATATAGATCTTTTCAAAGATTATAAACTTATTTTTCAGGTAAATTGCTATTTACTTTCATTGTGCTTCTGAGAAATCCTACTTAGCCAAAGAATTCCTTCACCTAAAAATAAAACCTAACACTGTTTAAGTTTAGAAGGCCTAAATGTCACCTTGAATAAAATTGATACCTCCACAGACAGGGCTCCTACTATATGTTGGCATCTTTGTGCTTATATTTTGGTTCTTGCCTGAGATTCATTCCTTCCCCAACCATCTTCTCTTATCAGCGCTGAGATAACAACAGAAAGTCAGTATATCAGGCCTCCTTTTAATGTTTTCTCAGAATCTCATTTTAATCTTGTGAGCTACAGCATTTTGGAAAATGGTAGTATAACAGATGAGTGGGTAAGAATGGGAGCTCAAACAAGACAATCTCATATCTTAGAGATTTTTAACATTGCTTATCATTGTTAAAAATTAAGTAGTGGCTCCTACTATATGTTGGCATCTTTGTGCTTATATTTTGGTTCTTGCCTGAGATTCACTTCCCTTCCCCACACCCATCTTCTCTTATCAAGCGCTGAGATCAACAACAGAAAGTCAGTATATCAGGCCTCCTTTTAATGTTTTCTCAGACATCATCATTTTAATCTCTGTGAGCTAGCAGCAATTTAGGAAAAATGGTAGTATAACAGATGAGTGGGTAAGAATGGGAGCTCAAACAAGACAATCTCATATCTTAGAGATTTTAACATTGCCTTATCATTGTTCAAAAATTAAGTAGTAGAGGACAGGCAAGAAGGAGGCCCTAAGTTCAAACCCCAATACTGCCAAAAAAAAAAAAAAATTAAAAGTGGACAGAGAGACAAAGTTTTAGGCCAGGTTTGGTGACTCACACCTGTAATCCCAGCTACCTAGGAGGTAGGAGGCATAGTTGAGGGAATCCCAGTGTGAGGCTGGCCCTAGGCAAAAATTCAAGACCCTTTCTGACCCCAGCAGCACAGCAACTAAGAGATAGCATAGATAAATGGGACCTCATAAAGCTAAAAAGCTTCTGTTCATCAAAAGAAATGGTCTCTAAACTGAAGAGAAACCCACAGAGTGGAGAAAATATTTGCCAAGTATACATCAGACAAGACTGATAACAGAAATATACAGGTAACTTAAAAAGCTAAATCTTCCCAAAACTAATGAACCATAAAGAAAATGGCAAGTGAACTAAAACAGAACATTCTCAAAAAAGAAATTCAGATGGCCAAAAAACACATGAAAAAATGCTCACCATCTCTACAATAAAGGAAATGCACATTAAAACACAGCCTAAGATCACCTTACCCCTGTTAGAATAGCCATCATCCGCAACACCACACCAACCGGTGGTTGGTGAGGAATGTGGGAAAAAGGAACCCTCTTTACACTGCTGTTGGGGATGTAGACCTAGTACAACCACTCTGGCAAAAAATTTGGAGGCTACATTAAAAAGCAACATCGATTCTAACCATTGATCATGCAAATCCAGTCTTGGGGAATATACCCAAAAGACTGTGACACAGGTTAGTCCAGAGGCAGCCTGCACACCCATGTTTATGCGGCACTATTCACAATAGCCAGTTAGGAAACAAGCAAGATGGCCCCACCACCGACGAATGGATTAAGAAAATGTGGTATCTATACACAATGGAATTTATGCAAGCCATGAAGAAGAACCGAAATGTTAATTCGCTGGTAAATGGGATGGAATTGAACGAAGAACGAAATGTATCATTCCGGCTGGTAAATTGGGATGGAATTTGGAGACATCATTCTGAGTGAGAGATATATACCTGGCCAAAAAAACCAAAAATCGTATGTTCTCCCTCATATGTGGACATTAGATCAAGGCCAACCCAACAATGGGATTAGACTATGAGCATATGATAAAGCGAGAGCCCACAAGGGAGGGGTGAGGATAGGTTAAGACACCTAGAAAATATAGCTAGCATTTGTTGCCCTTAACGCAGAGAAACTAAAGCAGATTACCTTAAAAGCAACTGAGGCCAATAGGAGAAGGGAACCAGGAACTGGAGAAAAGGTTAGATCAAAAAGAATTAACCTAGAAGGTAACACCCACGCACAGGAAATCAATGTGAGTCAATACCCTGTATAGCTATCCTTATCTCAACCAGCAAAAACCCTTGTCCCTTCCTGTTATTGCTTATACTCTCTCTACAACAAAATTAGAAATAAGGGCAAAATAGTTTCTGCTGGGTATTGAGGGGGTGGGGGAGAGAGGGAGGGGGTGGAGTGGGTGGTAAGGGAGGGGGTGGGGGCAGGGGGGAGAAATGAACCAAGCCTTGTATGCACATATGAATAATAAAAGAAAAAAAAAAAAGACCCTTTCTGAAAAATAACTAAATCAAAAAGTGTCAAGGGTGTAGAAGCCCTGAGTTCAAACCCCAGTACTGCCCCCCACCCCCTAAAAAAGTAAGAAATAAATAAAGACAGTCATGATTTAGGATAAACAAAGTTAAGATCTTTGTTATTAATTTATCAGTTACCTTTCTTAGTTTTTTATTTAGACATATTTGTTTAGTTTTAAACTAAAATGAATTAGTATCTCTTCAAGATTCCCACCAAGTATTTTCTTTATCTAAAGCAAAAAGAAGTCAGCTTTCTAGTGATCCCTTTGGCAATTCTAATCATACCATTATCTTTTAGGACAAATCTCGAAGTCTTGCTGTCCACTCTGTAAGGGCTTTGTTAAATGTGGATGATGATGTCTTAATGGTCAATACAGGCTCATGGTACACAGTTGCCCATATGTCAGTCTTAACAAATAATAATACCTCAAAGATATTTGTATGTGGAGTACAATCACAATACAAGGATCCTGACTTGAAGAAACTTTTCTCAAAAATAGGATGTAAAAGTATGTACAAATATTTATCTATTTATTTGGGGATTATTTTTCTACAAGATTTTGTAAATACCAAAAATGTTTGAATTAATTTTTTTGTAATATAAAATCTCTATATGTGAAGTATGCTCTTAAAATCCTCACTAATTTATGTCAGGCTGTTCTTGTTTAATGTTGACCTAATAGCTGTGGGTTAAAGTAATTAACATCTTTTTACTTTGGAATGGTGTTTGGTATTTAGCCCTAACATAAGTTGAGGCCTGAACAACATTTGGTTTAAGTAGATGAAGCTCATGATTTAATGGATAAGAACATATTCACATAAGTACTTAATTGACAAATATAATATCAAGGACTAGAAACTAAGTTTAAAAATAATTTTCCACTGGATTATGAAATCAAATGATCACAGTTTATTATTGGTTCAATGATGCTGAAAAGTAAGCAGTACTTTTGACAAAGTCACAGGGCTGGGGAGAAAAAAGTAAAATTCATGGCTTCACTAGGTGAAGAAGCCTGATAAATATCCAAGATTTCACTTGAGACAGACAGTCCCTTACCCCCCTTTTTTTGGGTAAAAAAATTGTCAACCCTTCAGTGGATTCCAATCATCTTCATTTCCAGTTGACTTAAGGTGATCTAGGACTTCTAGTGCCCAGTCTTAGCTAGATCCACTCTCCTCTGCATGCCAGAACCAAAAGGAAATTCTGTCTTGAAGAAAATAACATCATTCTAAATTTCTAATTATCTCCTAAATTTAAAAAAATTCAAAGTCTGGCACTCAGTTTAAAAAACTAGACAAATAAAAGATGTGATTCAAATATTAAACTGATAAGAATAGATACTTTACATGATCTTAGGCAAAAATCTGAGAAGTGATAGATATGACTGAAATAAAGGGAAGACACTACCATCAGACACACAGAGGATCCAAATACTATATATATAAGATGTGGACTTTAAAATAACTATGATTAATATCCTAAAGCTTTGCATTTCAACAGAGAACTGGAAACCATAATTTCCAAAGAGCCAAAAGAAAATTCTTTAACTGAAAAATGCAATGTGCATAATTAAGAAATAAATGAGAAAAGGAAAAAAGAATAACAAAGCTGAAGAAACATTGTAAATGGCTTGGCACTGGTGGTTCATCTCTGTAATCCTAACTACTTGGGAGATTGAGATCAGGAGGATCTAGGGTTGAGGCCAGCCTAGGCAAATAATTTCCAAGATCCCATCTGCAAAATAACAGGAGTAAAATGGACTAGAGGTGTGGCTCAAGCAGTAGAGCACCTGCTTTGCAAGTGTGAAGGCCTGAATTCAAACTCTAGTCCCACCAAAAAAAAAAAAAAAAAAGAATATTTGAACTGAGAAGAAAATACCCACACTAAAGCCCATTGAGATGAATGAATAAAATGAAAGCGGTCATAAGACACACATGAGACTCAGTGATCCACTGAACTTCTTGTGTGTTACAGTTAGAATCCCAGGACGAGAGGAGAGGAACTGAGAAGAAATAATATTTGAATTTTCTGCTGGAAATTTTCCAAAACAGACGAATGACATTGAGCTGTAGAGTTAAGAAGGCCTGTGAGCTGTAGTAAGAGTAAATATATGGCAATCATATGCTGTGATATAAACGTTTCCTCTCAAAAGGTGATGTTATTAGCAGGTGAGGCCTTGGGAAGGTGAGAGCCCTTATTAATGGGATTAGTGATTTTATGAACAGAACCCCACAGATTACCTATGTGAGGACACTGCAAGAAGGTTTCATTTATCAGAATGTGGGCCCTCATCAGAATCTTCTGGTGCCTTGATCTTGGACTTCCCAGCCCCCAGACCTGACAGAAATAAATTTCTGTTGTTGTAAGTTACTTATTCTGTGATACGTTGTTATAACAGCCTAATTAGATGATTATCCTAGGCATATTGTAGCTAACTGCTGAAAAACAAACACAAGGAATAATAGTAAGCATCCAGGGAGAAAATACATATTACCTTTAACAACACAGCAATAACACCAAAAACTGACCTTGTAACAGAAATTTCAAAGAAGCCAGAAGTCTACTTAACAATTTCATCATCGTGCTGAAGAAGTGGCCAGACTAGATTTTTTTCTCCTTTTCTTCCTCCTTCTTTCCTTCTCCTCTCAGTTCCTCTTCTTCTCTCCTTCATATGCCCCTTCCCTTCTTTCTTCTTATCTTCCTCCCCCTCCTTTCCTTTATTCCCCTTCCGGGATGGAACCTTGCACATGCTAGGCAAGTGCTCTATCACTGAGCTACATTCCTATCCCATAGATTAGATTTTTATATTCAGGAAAATACCTTTGGTGTAATAAAATGAAATAAAGACATTCTTAGGTGAACAAAATTTAAGATTTTGTCATCAGTAGATACAATAAAAGAAATATATTACTTGGGTAGAAGGAATATTACATAGAAAGTTGAGAGTGCTAGAAGACATGAAAAATAATGGGAAAGATGAGAATATAGGCAAATCTAAATGATCATAATCTAATGTCTTATGGGAGGGAAAGCTGTATAGGGTTTAAAATATATGTGATTAAAATAAATTATAATAATGGCATATCATTTTACAGAAAAGGAAATGGAATTGATGTGCTCTGTGGTCTGTGCTTTTCCAGGAAGTCATCAAAATAGTAAATTATATTAAGTTATAATTTCTGGGGTAATGAATAAATAATAAAGGAATGTGTAATTAATAGTTCAGGGAGAGAGGGATGGAATATGAAATGGAATACCAATGCAAAAGAAGATAAAGGAGAGGATAAGGGAAAATATAACAGTACTAAAGATGTATGCATGTAATAACATAGTCTCAAAATATAGAAAGCAAAATTGTTCAGAACCAGCAAACATTCTTTGCATATAAAAAACCTTAAAGAATCCAGGAAAAAATTGTTAAAACTAATAAAGTAGTGTAACAAGGTTGTAGGTTACAAAGTGAATGCATAAAGATCTTTTATATTTTTATACATTAGCAGTGAACAATCTAAAAGTTAAAATAAGAAAAGCACAATATCAAAAAAGAATAAAGTTCCTGGGAATAAATTTAATAAAAGAAGTGCAAGACTTTCTGGACACTGGTGGCTCACATGTATCCCAGCTGTTTCCTAGCTGTTCAGGAGGCAGAGATCAGGAGGATCACAGTTCAAAGCCAGCCTGGGCAAATAATTCTCAAGACCCTATCCCAAAAATACCCAATACAAAACAGCACGAAAGGAGCTGCCATAGTGGCTCAAGTGGTAGAATGCCTGCCTAGCAAGTGTGAGGCCCTGAGTTCAAACTCCAGTGCCAAAAAGAATAAGGGCAAGACTTGTACATTGAAAGCTATGACACATTGTTTAAAGAAATTGAAAGCTACAACACATTGATTACAAACAACTGAGTCAGAAAACTTAATGTGGTAATACTCCCTAGTTCTTTTTATTACCTTGATATTTTTATTACCTTGAAAGGGACGTTTCAGGGAGGGGAAATTGTGGGCCTGTGTCACAAGTGAGAATAGTGATAAAAAGTTAATACCGGCAAATTAAAATGTTACAAATACCTGAATAAGTAAAATGTTAGTAAGCTAAATTTAATAATATATTTAAACATATAAGTTTGGTTTATTCTTGAAATGCAAAGTTAACTTAACTCTTAAAAAATCATTTGTGAAGCTTGGTAGGGTGATGCATACCTGTAATCTCAGCACTAGGGAGGCTGAGGCAGGAAGATCATGAGTTTGAGTTCAGCCTGGGCTATGTAGAAAACCTAAAAGAATCTACAATCTACAATGTGATTTTTTGTAAGATCACTAGCTATGAGATCAGCATATAAAATTTATTTCTGTATACCAACAACAAAAACTTGAAAATGAAGTTTTAAAAAGCAGATACATTTTGCAGAAGTATACAAAAACAAAATACTGAAGATTACTTATGATGAAAGATGTGTGGAGCCTTTTCTCATAAATAATAGAACATTGTTGAAAGGAAGAAGAGCCGAGCAAATAGAAGAATAGACCATGTTCATTTCTGTTTAAATTGCTCTGTATAGAATCAGTTTAATTCCAATCAGAATTCTAGTGCACTGGCAACACAGAGCTCCACGTACACCAGAAACTCCTGACGATGAAGAACAAAGATGGAGGATGTACTTCAGCGGATGTTTTGACAAAACAAAAAGCTACAGTAATTAAGACAGTGTGAAGGTGGATAATAGACTGAGGAGCAGATCAGAGTCCAGAGTTACTTCCTTCATGACTGAAGTGATACTGAAGAATATTTAGGGAGAGATAGGATTTTTGGTAAATTGTGCTGGAAAAACTTTTGATACTGTACACAAATTGTACACAAATCTAGAATCTTTTTCTTTTTTTTTTGTGTGCTTCTGGGGTTTGATTCCACGGCCTCATGCTTACTAGGCAGTGACTCTACCACTTGAGCAACTCTGCCAGCCCTTTGTTGTGTTGGATTTTTTGAGATAGGGTCACATGAACTGTTTCCCTGGACTGGCTTCGACCATAATCCTCCTAACCTCTGTCTCCCTAGTAACTAGGATTGCAAATGTGAGCCACTGGCTCACTAGAAATTCTTATAAGAATTTCTTATAAATACATCATGACTTGGGAGGTAGTTTAAGATTTCTTTAAGGACACATAAAGCACTAAAAGATTAATTGGCTATCAGAAAAATTAAAAAAAAATAAAACTTTGGTGCATTAAGAGAGTGCAAAGAAAAATCACAGAGAGGAAGCATGTGAATTGATGAAGAGCTTTTACCGTGATTATAATGAATTCTTACACATTAACATGCTTCAGTAGAAAAATGTGCAAGAGGCATAATTGTGTTTCACAAAAAGATATTCAAATGCAAAAACCCTCCAAATTTATACAAAAGTACCAAATTCCATTAGTAATCAGGAAAATGCAATTAAAATCACAACATCTTGCCACTACCCACCCACAGAATGATCCAAAAAAAAAAGGTGGCAGTACCATGTATCGGCATGTCAAGAACCCCGGGAATGCCCCCCCGTTCCTGGCGAAATTGCAAATTTGTATAGCCAGTTTGGAAAACTAGTATTACTCAGTAAAGTTGACTCAGTACCTACATTATCACCTAGCATCTTATTTCTGCGTTTATGTTCACCAAACGCTATATGCAAGAATATTCATGGCAGCATTATGTATTATTACTTTGTTTCCCATTGTTACAAGAAAATACTGGAGGCTTGGTGATTCATAAAGAAAGGAGGTTTATTTAGATTACAATTTTGGAGGCCCAAGAGCATGGGACTGGTGAAGCTGGCTCTACTGAGGGCATTCTGACTGTGTCACAACATGGCAGATGGCGTATTCGTGGGAACACACGCTAGAAGAGATCACATGGTGAGACTGGAGAGCAAGTTACGCTTTCTTAAAACAAGCCATTCTCACAGGGACTAACTCACTTGGCAAGACCCTCATTATTCCCTTCTGAGGGCAGTGTCCTCAGTGACCTAATTACCTTTCACTAAGCCTCACCTCTTTAAGGTTCTAGCACCTCTCAGTATTGCTGCATTGGGAACCAAGCTTCTACACATGAACTCTTGGAGCACGAACAGTACCCAAACTATAAAACATCACTTGTGATAGCCTCAGATGAGGAACAGCTCAAATTTCTATGCTGTAGACTTCTAGAGTAAACTGCCATACCTGACCACATGAGTGAGTCTTACAAACTGATCCCCCAACTGGCAGAAAGGGCATGGATTTCAAGACAGGGTTAGTGGGATGGAGAGGAGCAATATTAGCAGAAGGAACTGTCCACCAAGAAATGTTAATGATTTATCATTCAACAAGTACTTACTGAGGTATGTTATATGCTAGCACTGTTCTATGGCTTTGGGAATATAGCAGAGAAGCAAAGACTCTCCTTTCATTATACTATGAAAACGATGGAAATTTTTAAATTTTTTGAGAATGGTGATCACGAAAGGCCTCTCTGATACAGAAGTATTGGAAAGGAGACCTAGTTGAAGTGTTGGAGTCCTGACAGGAGTGAGGGACACATGCAGGAAGAGCATTCAAAGCAGCGGGCTAGGAAGAATCAAAGCCTTGAGGTAGCATGCTTAGCAAGTTCCAGGAGCAGTAAGGAAGCAGTGTGGCTAGAGCAATGCGTGAACCATGTGATGAGGTTGAAAGTTCATCTAGGAACAAAAGTAGGGCATCCTATGCTGGAGGAAGGATTTTGGTCTTGAACAGATGGGAATCTTCAGAGGACTTTGAGGAGCCAACATGTTTTACCAGTGTTTGATTACTTTGGAAAACAGAGCTTAGGTAAAAGGATATTAGATCAGTTAAGAGGCAATTTTAAACAGTTCAGGTGTGCAGTGATACTGACTTCTACCAGGTGGTAGCCATGGCGATTGTGAGAAACTTCGGACTCTGAATGTATCCCTAGGGTGCGTCTTTAGACTGGATATGAGCTGGGAGAGAAGGGAAGAGTCAGAATTGATTTAGGATTTTTGTTTATTCAGCTGGAAAGTAGAGGTTGTCTTTTCCTGAGATGGGGAAGACTGTTGAAGGAGTTAGGGTTATGTCACTAAGTGGAAATGTCAAGCAGGCATTTGGGTACACCCTTTTTGTGTCAGGAGAGATATAAACTTGAGCCTTGCCATCATGTAGAAAAAATTGAATGTTCCAAACCCTAAGGGAGTGAGTGTACATAATAAAGAGAAGTTCAGAGACTGACTCCTGGACACTCCCATTATGAAGAGGTCAGGAAGTTGAGCAAAAGGAATCCGGCAAAGGATCCACAAAAGAAGTAGAATGAAGAATAAGTGGGTTCAGAAACTGGGTCAGGTGTTGCTTTATTGCCTCTCAGTTCCAAGCCCACCCTTTGCCCTTTGTTGTGGTGCTGGAACTCTACTCTCCATTCTTCATAGGCAGCTGGCTTAGTGTTAGCTCCTGCCATTATAGGCTAGAGGACTTTGCAAGACTGGAAGAGGAAGAGCAGAGGACTTTTCTACCTCCAGTGTTTTTTTATTACTTTGTTGGCTTTGTAGGGATTCTGGCAGGGTTAACCTTAGCATATTTCTTTGGTAACTTTGCCTTCTTCTCACTGGGTAAGTCTTACTGTAGGAGCAGAGATGGCTGCAACCTGAGGGAAGCTGACTTTCATAAACCAAATTACAAGGTTCCTTGAGGTGTGGATGATATTTCACACCATTTGTGTGGGTTCAGCACCTTAGATTGTGCCTTATAACTGCTTTTGATGTGCATTTTGGGGGATGATAGGATATAAAAGAGGATAGACTATAAAATGGAAGGGGAAATAACCAACACTGGGCATTTATATGAGACACTGTGCTAAGCTTGAGTGCTTTATCTCAGTCTCACCATAATTAGGTCAGGAAGCCATGCTATTTTATGAATAAGGAAGCGCAAGCTTAGGACACCCAGCCAATAGATGGTGAAGTTTGGAGTCAAACCTGTTTGCCTCCAAATCCCAGTCCCTACTACTTTAAATTTAACCTAAAGTTCAGAATGAAAAATTTAAACTTCGAAATCATTCTCTCAGGTGGAGAAAACTCTCTTAAGAAGATTGCTAAGCTGGGTGCCAGTAATCCTAGCTACTTAAGAGGCTGAGATCGAGAGGATCTTGATCCTAGGCCAGCTCAGGCAAAAAGTTGGTGAAACCCCATCTCAACCAATAGCTGGGTGCAGTGGCACATGTCTGTCATCCCAGGCTATGTGTCATCTCAAGTTACATGGGAGGCTGAGATCAGGAGATCATGGTTCGAGGCCAGCCTGGGCAAAAAGTGAGACCCTGTCTCCAAAATAAGGAAGGAGGTATGGCTCAAGTGGTAGAGCACCTTCCTCACAGGTGTGAAGCCTCTTGAGTTTGAGTTCCTGTACTGCAAAATAAACAAATAAGTAAAATATCCTTATTAACTTTAAAAAATTATCAGAAAACTCCCTTTTCTAACTACATTGAACAGCTTTTGTGGGGTTGAGGATTTTAAAATAAATAATAAATAGATATAAAAACATTGCATTCAGATTTCTAATTAATGTTTTACATTGATTTTTCTGTTTTTTTTTTTCTTCCAGATATAGAAATACTTCATGAAACATTTGCTAATATTGAGTCAAAGGATCACAGGTTACAGAAAGTTAAAGTAATTCTGCTGCTGCCCCGTTGTTCGGGACTGGGTGTTAGCAATCCAGTAGAATTTATTTTAAGTGAACATGAAGGTACTTGTTCTAATTTCTAAATTATTGAAATTAGGTGACTGTAGCCCATCAGTTTCTGTTTTGGAAAATAAATCTCATTTTCTCTTTCTGTATATCTCCAGATTGATTGCATTCTTTCTTTTCTGCCTAAGTGACTTATATGGCTACTTGGATGACTGTCTCATAAACTTGGAGAAAAACAACATATATTTTCTGACATTTTAATTGTTATCTATTTAGTTGTAATAGGTGTTTTCTATGAACATTTACATTAGTAGGTCAAATGATTGGAAAATAAGACAAGGGCAATACATGAAAAGCACCTAATTGTGATATATTTAAAAAGTATTCATATACCTTTTAAAATTTAGATACAGATTTACTTAAGGACCTCTCTCAAGGAGGCACATCAGAGGATAAACTTCAGGCTCTTGCTCAGCAGCAGTATGAGCAGCTGGTACATGCAATGAAATGTAAGTTTGTCATTCGTACAGTCTTGCTAAAACGCAGTGTTAAGATTAGAAGCATGAATGCATCGCTTATCTAGTAGAATAAAGCAATGACGTGTGAACCATAAACAAAATTTTAGAAGTCTTAGTGCTTTCAAATAACAAAATATTTACTTTAATTAACTTAATCAAAAAAATACATGCTTTACTATAATTTTAAACATAGGTTATCAAACAATAATTTCTTTATGGTGAGTGAAATAATTATGTATATCCACAATTGTACATTTCATTCATTCATTCATTTATTTGAGATAGGGTCTTGTTATGGAACCCAGTCTGGCCTCAGGTTTATGGGCCTCCTGTTTCAGCTCCCCAGGTGCTGGGATTTTGGGTCTGTGCCAGCACACCTGGCCCATGATAGTACATTTTCATCTTTGCTATTTCTGCTCTTCAACTTCTCACTTTATGTAATTTTTCTTTTGTCATTTTGCCTATCCATGACAACTCTTCAACAGTCCCTTGTAAAGCCATCTTTTTTAAGAGGAATGTCTGGAAGTCAAGTTCATGGTAAACTGCAGTATTTATTTGCTTGTTTTGGAACTAGGTTGTCATATTGGTAGAATTTTCCATTTTCATACAATCCAGTTGGATTTACTTTACTTCTTGGGCACAGTGAGCTTCTACTTTCAAGGGGAGTCATTCAAGCATCTGTGGAAATTGTTGCTATCAAAGTCTGGAGTATTAGTGTGGAAACTTAGTACCTTTGCTTTGGACGGGTAATGGGGTCATTCCATTAATCCTGTCTTCTTTACATGCAGTTACTAAAGCTCAGGCCGTTGTTTACTGCACATGCTCCGTTTATCCAGAAGAAAATGAAATTGTTGTTAAAAAGGCTCTAGACTGTCAAGACCAGGGGAATAAAACACAGCCTTACAGGTAAGGAAAGGAGGCCACTAACCAACTCAAACAGCCAAATACTTCTCAGTGAAAGCTATGGTTTTCTAAGCTGTATAGATAGTCCACTTCCCTTTTCTTGGACTTTACTAAGGTCAAATATCCTACCTTCTGTCACAATTTATAGCAGGTTCTATAGGGCCTTTGCATGAATATTCTGTAGTTTGCCATGAATATTTTCTTGTATGTAAAAAAGATCCTGGTGTTTTTGTCATTCCTGATAAAGTTAACGGCATTTGGCTTTGACTTGCCTGGTTTCTGGATGAACTGGGTCTAAATTTCATATCCCTTTTTTAGATACATGCATGTCTCTGTAGAAGAAAAATAAGTATATAAAATATTTTAGAAGGGAGACAGAAACCTGGCTGTGTATTATTTGAAGACATACATTTCTTAAGCCCTTTTAGCCTTTGGTACCCACCAGAACAGAGCTAAAAATAACTTGGGTCTGTACAGTAGCTTCAGGGTAAAATGTAGCAATAAAGTAGGGATAGAAAGAATCATACTGCTACAACCTGAATTGTGGGCATCAGTGTAAGGAATAGCTCTAAGACTGTGTGACATCAACTAGTTCTTCAAGACTGTGACAATAAGGACCTTTAAACATCTCTTCTATTTTTTAACTTATGTCTCATGTTGTAAGCTCTTCTTAAAATCTATGTATCTATATATTCTCCTCCATCCTTCCGACTTGCTATTTTCCTTTTGCCACTTCACAAGTGGGACATGTTAACCACATCAGCATTTCCTTTCTTGTTGACTTTCTATCCTTAATAGCTTCTGTTGGTGGCTTACAGCCAACCAACCTCAAGCTCTAAAAGCTTCTTAATATGGAATCCACTAAATTCCCACGTAGTGGCAAAGAGCATTATTGTAGGCATATAATCAAACCAGTGAGTACACCGTGTATGATTCTTGATTTATCAGGGATAAGGTTTGTGAGGATATAATATGGCAAAAGTGCAGGAATACCTGTTTTTCTATTTCATGGTTAATCTGTAATCTGACATAATATATAAGTAATATTTAAACATGTAAGCTAAGTCACATTCTAGATTGGTCTGAGATTTAAGCTCAGATTGAAAAGTGTATATTCAAGAGGTTGTAACTACTTGCTAGAGGTGTAGTTGAAAGAAATTATGCACTGCCTAGGGTAATATAAGAGGTGGTCTGTAGGGTCATTTTGTGGGGGCGTGTGGGTGCTAGGGCTCAAACCCAGAGCCTTGTGCACGCTAGGCAAGCACTCTACTACTGAGCTCCATCCCCAGTCGGAGTCATTTCTTAATGCTCCAAAGTGGTGGGAGTTAGAGTTGAACACAGTGTTACAGGTCATCTAATCTAATTCCTACCCGTTGCATATATTTCCTTTTACTATCCTGGAAATATTCAGTTCATTTGGACTTTAGCCATTGTGATATTTACAGGCAGATTTTTTTCTTGTCCCATGTTACAGGAATACTAATTTAGAAAGAAAAAAGGATTTCTAAAACTCATCCTCTTAGATATAACCATTCTTAATAATTTGATTTATAGTTTTCTAGGTCTTTCTCGCACCAAAGAATACACATATTTTAAATTTTAATAAGTATTGTCAAATTACCCACCAAATAATCACTTTTATAAGTCTGTTTCCCTGTAGCTCTAGAAATGCTAGTTTTTAGCAGACTTTTAAATCTTTACCAGTCTGAGGGTGAGAAGATGAGGTCTCACTGTTGCTTACATTTCACTTCTCAGTGGCGAGGGTGAGCGCACTTTCTGACCACTGACGGGCAGTGTGGCAGGGGTGGCCGAGGGTGGAGTTCTGCAGCATGAGCCTTCAAACTTTTCTTTTCCAAATGCTTCCTAAAATTTTGCTCTATACTTTTAACATGATGTTGAACATTTCTCATAAGTTTCAACAGTTGCACACTATATTATTTCTAGAATATCATTTTGCATATTTTAAATACATTTTTATTAAATACAAATTTTCTATTAAATATTTGAACCTGTAGATTTGTCTTATTTGATATATGGGAAAAATGCTTAATTTGTCCCCTATTACAAAACTAGTTCTCTTTTTCAAAACCAGATATACCTTGTTAAAAAAGTCAGACATGCTAATATGATTTTGTGATTTACTTCTAAATTTTAATTTTAAGATACATAGAAATAAAGGAGAGAAAGGAGGGAAGAAATGCTTTCTTTAGAGGGTATTTGAGAAAAAATGTTTCAATGCCTTGCCACTGCTCCAGAACCCCCATTGTTTTCTCTCTTTCTCCTTTATTCTCCTTCTCCCCTTCTCAGAACAGTTTTATCAGGTCTCATTGTTACATTTTCATACATGAATACATAGTACTTCCACATATTCGCCCTTCACCATTTCTTTATGCCCTTCCTTTGGTACCAATCCCTGGACAGGACTTGTTTTACCTTCCTGTCTTTTTTTTTTTTTTAAAAGACATTTTTATTTATGATGTAGAACCCCTACTCTTAACCACTCCCTACCACACTGCTGTCAGTCAGCAGGGGACATGGTCAAGCTCACAATCCAGAGATGAAAATGTAATCAACAACCAGAGCTCATCCTCTCGCCCTTAGACGGGAAAGACTTAGAAGTCCAATAAAGACCCAACATTTGTGAAGCTGTGGGTAAACAGACTGATAAAAGTCGAGTACTTGGATGGGTGTTTGGTAATACTGAGGGAGGGCCGTGGAAGGGAGAAAGGTCTGTAGTTCAAGAACAGATCTTGCTGAGTCTGAGAGATCCTTACCTAATCTCTGCTCTGGCTGGGAGAAGACAGCCACACTCTCAGCTGTTCCTTTGTTTAGCACCCTGGAGATTTTAGCCCGCAAGTTTATGGACGACAATAAGGTAGGTTACAGGCCTTTGTTAAGTGGGAGAAGGGTGTCCTGAATGGAGATGAAGGAAAGTGGATATAAAATGTGTCCCCTACTTCAGCAGAGCTTTAATACGAAACTCTATGGGTATGGTTATTAATTTGTAAATTGCATGTTCATGTACTCTGCCATGTTTTCAACTGGATAATTAATCTTTTTTCTGTCCTATTGTATACTAGGGATATTAGTTATTTGTCATATAAATTACAGATATTTAAATCGATGCTTAATTTTTCCTTTTTATTTTAAACAATTTGTCTTTAACATACGTAAAACAAAAATTATATGTTGTTAAAGGGATACTGTGTGCTGTTTGAATATGAGTATGCATTGTGCAATGTAATGTTTAAACTAGGTTAAACGTATCTTTTTCCTCAAACATCCATCATTTCTTTACGGTGAAAACTTTCAAACTCCTTTCTGCTAGTGTGGTGAAGTGTATACGGCAGTATCGTAACCCAGGGTCACCTGATGCACAGTGGCACACAGAACTTTTGGCTGTTAGTGAATGTAACATGGTACCATTGATCTACCTCTCCCTAGCCCTGCCTGCCATATTAAAGTATTTTAGAAAAATTTCCTTTACAGAAATTTCAAATTTTTGTGTACATAGTTGTATCAGTCTTGTCCTTATAGCATGTGCATTTTGTATTAAATTATCCCTAACTTGTAAATCCTTTTGCCAGTTTTCTTTTTGTTCTTTTATTAGTTCATATTTATTTACTTATTTGAGACAGGGTCTCACTATGTAGCCCAGGCTAACCTTGAATTCATCTTCTTCTATTTAAATAATTTATCTGCTCTTTATCTTGGCACAGGAGGAAAGTACATACCAATCTGGTTTTTCCCATTTCTCCTCCCACCTTCCCACTGATTTCAAATACCATCTTTTAATTTTTTCTCTCTTTTTTTTTTTTCTGGCTGTACTGGGATTTGAACTCAGGGCCTCACACTTGCTAGGCAGGCACTCTACCACTTGAGCCACTCCACCAGCCCTCTTTTTGATTTAGTTATTTTTTGAATTAAGGTTTTGAGTTTTTGCTGAGGGCCAGCTTGGACTTGATCCTCTTATCTGTGCCTCCCCAAAGGCACCTTCAGTTTATTTGCTGAGATGGGTCTTGCTAACTTTGTGCTTGAGGTGACTTTGAATCACATCCTCCCAATCTCAGCCTCCTGAGAAGCTGGATACAGGCATGTACTACCACACCCATCTCTTGTTTCTTTTTGTGAGACAGGGTCTCACTTTGTAGCCCAGGCTGGCCTGGAACTTGTGAACCTCCTGCCTCAGCCTCCCAAGTGTTAGAATTACAGGGGTCCATGACCACACCTAGCTAAAATTCCATCTTTTTGATGTGCTATAATCCCATATGTACTTCTGTGTGAGTGAGTCTGTAATTCTGTTCACTGGTTTCTGGCTACGTCTATACTAATATGACAGTGCTTTAATTATTATAGTTTTAAATGTTTTTTTTTCAAATTTTGTTCACTGGTTTTTGTTGATCACAAAAAAACCTACCCACATTTGCCTACCAAATAAAAGAATCCAAAGATGCATAATGAGAGTTAATCATATCTTTTGTATATCTGTCCACTTCCAAATCCCATAGTTTTGCAGTGGGCAGAGGCTGGCTCTTGGGGTCCTTTATGTGCCAGGTGGACCTCCTTGTTCCTTTTTATGATGTGAATGTCTGGGGGGGCATTTGAGGAGGTAGGGCAGAAGGAGGGCATACGCCCAGAAATTTGGTATTTTTCTCATTGGTATACCAGAGTGTGCCAGCTGAATGTCAGCCACAAGAGTATGTGTGCATATGTTGTTTTTTGGGGGGGATGGGACTAGGGGTTTAAACTCAGGGCTTCTCACTTACATAGCAGGTGCTCTACTGCTTGAGCTATGCCTCCATTTTACTCTGGTTATTTTGGAAATGGGGTCTCAAGAACTATTTGCCTGGGCTGGTCTTGAACCATGATCCTCCCAATCTCAGCCTCCCAAGTGGGCAGGATTATAGCGGTGAACCAGCAGCTCCTGGTTATAAGTTATGTTATAGATGAATTATATATTAAAGATATGTAACTTCCTACTTTAATACTTTTGAGATATAACTTACATACTATAAAATTCACCATTTTAAAGTGTACAATTCAGTACTTTTAAAATATAGTCACAAAGTTGTGCAACCATTAGCAGTATCTGATTCCTGAACATTTTCATCACCCTCAAAAGAAACTCCACATTCAGTAAGTAGTCACTTCCCATTTTCTTCTTCCCCCAGCCCTGTCAACCAATTGTCTCCTTTCTGTCTCTATGGACCTATTCTGGACATTTCACACAAATGAAATCATACAATGTGTCCCTTTGTGCCTGGTTTCTCTCACTTATCATAATGTTTTTTGGGGTTCATCTATGTCATAGAAGTATGAGAACTTCATTCCTTTTGAAGGCTGAATAATACTCCATTGTATCGACATGCTACATTTTGTTTACCTGTTTATCAGTTAATGGGCATTTGGGCGATTTTTCATCTTTAGGATGTTAAGATGCTGCTATAAAATTTGTGTACATGTTTTTTTGCAGATGTGAGTTTGCATTTCTCTTGGGTATATACTAGAGGCAGAATTCCTGGGTCAGATGGCAACTTTTTGTTTAATCTCTTGAGGAAACTTCTACACTTTCCCAAAGTGTTTGCTTCACTCAGCATTCCCATCAATCAGTAGCAGGGTTCTGATTGTTCCAGTTCTCACCAGTATTTGTGGGTTTCTATTTTTAATGCTAGGTTAGCCTAGTGAGTGTGAAGCACGATCTCATTCTGGCCTTGGTTTGGGTTTCTCTGATGACTAAGGATACCGAGTGTCTTTCCATGTGCTTACTAGCGGTTTGTATCTCTCCTTTAGACAAGCGTCCATTGGGATTCATTGACCACCTTTTTTTTACTGTGGAGAAGTTATTTAACGATGGAGACCTAGAAAGTATAACAGTTATGAGCTAATATAAAATATTGGACCTTTCAACTTATAGTAGCATTTTGGAAAAGACTGTTTCTTATTTGGAATTTTCAATTAAGTGATTGGTAAAACAGAAGAAAATTTATTTGCAAAATACTTTCTGCCTTTCTTGGTAAAGAATCCATTCTGACTGTTCAATGTTTATTCATTTCTACCACAGGCTCAGTCCTCCTGTTCTTCCACTATGCTCATTAAAAGAAATACATTTGTCTACTGATAAATTTTTCAGAATGGAACCATCTGAAATTACCAATGGTTGTTTTCTTTCTATTTTGACAAGAGAGGTAAGAGGAAACAAAAATCCCAGTCCATTGTCATACTTTGGAACTGAGAAACAACAAAGCCTCCTAAAAGGTACCCAGGAATGTCATGGCCATTTTGAAGTGGCGTGCTTATATTTCGCAAATAACGAAAAGGCAGGAAAAAGACTGCTGTGTGGCACAGACGCCTCTTCTTTATGCTTCTTAGAGCTTCTCTACCTGCACTTCTCCAAGCAGTTGGTCAACACTTAGTACATCTTCCCTAATGAGTAAGAAATCAGAAGTTAATTCTTTCTAGTAGGTTTATAAATGGATGAGTTGAAGTAAAAAAATCATTTGCTACAGTGTACCATATATTAGGGAGTAACGCCTAAAACCCATTTCCTTTAGTAAGATACTGATACTCTCTCTTTTTCACTGAAGCCCGGATATTTTGTGACACACTGAGTGATCTCCCTCCCACATTAATAGCTGCTCCCTTCATTGCAGCGGGACCCATCTGAGACAGTGTCTGTGAAAGATGTTTTGGCCCGAGCTGCAGCAAAGGGTTTACTGGATGGGATTGAGTTGGGGAAATCATCAAAACGGGAGAAGAAGAAGAAGAAAGCAAAAACATTGACCAAAGCTTCCACTACTGATAGCAACGGCATCCAAATGAAAATTGCTGAGTTCCTGAGTCGGGAAACTAAAGCAAGTGCTAATCCATCAGAGACATTAATGACAAAAACGCCTCTTCCACAGAAAAATGTGACCCAAGCTTCCTCACAGACCAGAAGATCCAGTAAGCCTGCAACCAGTCTGTTAGCACCCACCCTGCTGAAGAGTACTGGTCACTCCAGGCCATGTGAACCGTCGACAAACTTGAGATCTCGACCAGGAGGCAAAGTGGTTCCTCTGAAACCCGTGGAGATCATTCTGCCTCCGGTGATGCTGCCACTTGCAAGCCCCCAAGTGACCAGATCTCAGCTCCCAGCCCACCACTTTTACTACCGTTGGATTGGAGCCAAGACTAGTGGGCCCGGCTACTTCCCCACGCCATCCGTGCTCAGGAGAGGGGATAAACCCAAAGAAAACTTACCTTCCTCCCTATTCAAGCATCCCCAACCATGGCTTTGACTTTCCTGTGTTGGTTACAGGGGCCAGGAACAGGTGTTCCCCCCGCCCCAAGGTCTGGTATTTCTCAGGTTAGATATCACTGCATAAGATACTCATCCTTTCAGTCACTTAGTATCTGCTAAATGACCTTCGAGATGAAGATAGGCGAGCAGCACTCATGCAGAGGATTACGTGAGCAGAACTGAGATTTCACAGCTCAGCACAATCTGTTTTACGATGCCCAGTGGTAGACTCGGAATCAGCACTTAGAACTTGTCTCACTCCTGTGAACTTGTCTGGATTAAAGCTGCAACAGTCTCTCCTTAAGGGACCATGGTCCACCTCCAAGCTGGCTGCTTTTCAAACTTCAGTGGGAGGGATTTGCTAGCAAGTGTGAAAGATGCCGCCTGCTCTGCCAGGACCCAGCTGGTTAGAGCTGAACCTTTCCAGTCCCAACCTAGGTTGACTTTTTTCCTCAAGTATCACACCATTCCTGACACAGGGCATATGAGCTTTTGTACTGTGACTGAGCTTGAGTCTGAGTAGGAAGCACAGAAGTCCAGAGCACCAGGCTTGCGTAGCTCAGATGTCCATCCACAGAAAATGTGTGTTTCTTATTGGAGGAGCCTCTGGAATCCTAAGTAGACTGAGCACAGTCATCCCTCTCTTCTGCCTGTTTATACCAAACGCTGTTGTAAAAAATGACTGTGAGCAAATTTATCTAAATATGTGTAATTCTGAGAAAGAGGCAAAACTGTTCATACAAGTGATATCTATTGTTGAAGAAACCCTTAAAGATTTCTGATTCTATTCAAAGATCAGGTGATACAGCAAAATGTACAAATCATTTCAAATAGCACACACTAATCAAACTTTGGTAAATCATTTCTGATGCACAATTAAAACATAGTGCAGCACTGTTACATTAAATGTCAATTCATCTTGATGTATTATCTATTGCCTACTGAAATTGGGATGATTATCATTTTTGGGTCTATTGATTTTTTTCATCATGGCAACAAATTGTTATCAAGTAGAATAACTGACTATAAATCTTATTTTAAAAAGCTCATCGACACATTAAGTTTGAAGTTAAAGTTTTAGTTTCAGAATTCAGCTGTGGACAAGTGTTAGTAAATTTCTGACTGCTCATCTCAGGTGGCATGCTTTCGTAGAATACTGAGGTCTGTTTCAGCTCTTTTATTTTCTCACTTGAATTTGGGAGAAAAATGGTGAATTTCATTTTCATAAGTACTATTTTTATTTTAGCTAAAGACTTACATTTTTCACTAAAATCTGTAGCCGAAGAAAGTTTTATACATGAGGCTTATAATATTTTAAATCCTCAAAGAATTCTACTCATGTTAATTATGACTCTTAAAAAACAAAGAACTCAGGAGGCAGAGGCAGAAGGGTGACATATTTTAAGCCAGCCTGGGTTACACAGTATGACTCTGGATGTAGCTCAGTGGTAGAGCACTTGGCTAGTATGTGCAGGGCCCTAGGTTCCGTCCCTAGCACCAAACCCACGGAGTATTTTAAATGCTCAGCTCATTTTACTAAATTCAAAAACTTCAGAATTATAGTATGTTTCATTGTGTCATCTCCACCCAGATCTGGCTTAGAGAACCCCACACTTAGAAGGGCAATGTGGCTTAATGTAACGTGCCTCAGGAAGGAGCTGGTATTTCATCCCAGGAATCTCATCCGCCCTCCCCACCGCCACCCCAGGGTGGAACTTTTCCAGGTGTGTCTTGTTAATTCTCATTGTTATGAAGTAGCTTGAGTGCCTTCTAGTCTCTAGCAGTGTGACTCAGTTCTCCACTTCTAGCCACTTACTTTTGGTATCTCCCAACATGCATCTTGGTACAAGTTTTTTCTTTAGAAGTTTATGGAGATTCTGAATTAAACTATTCCTTAATTACGCCTATATTTTATTCTTTGAGAAGAATCCTCTTCTAAGGAGGACAGGATCAATTATTTAAATATTTTGGTAGTTAAAAGGGAAAAACACTTTGGATAAAAGCAACAGAATTATAGTGAGGAATATTGGTCACACTGACATTTTCTGTTTAGCATTTTACTTTCTCCAGCTTCTTAAAGTGTTGCAAAAAACTAAAAATAAATTATTAGTGTTCAGATACTCTAATAGCAAATTCAGATTTTTATTTGAAACTACCCTGAAACCAAAATGAACTTTTGTTCATTGAGAGTTACTGCTTTTCATAGCATAAGAGGACCTAGTGGGGGAGAGCAGGATGAACAAAAATTGGGTCCACACTTTAAATGCTACTTGTCAACGTCCATGTGTCCCGTGGTTAAACTTAACCTAGCTACACAGCACTTGGATTTAATGTCTGCATGCCTCTGTTCTTCAGTCTCTGAAACTAGGTTCTTAAATGAATGACAGGCTTCTTTGTGCTGAAATGCCTCAATCCTAGAGACTGCAGAAAGAGTCTGGGTTGGTAACTAAATGTGCTGTGTCCAGAATGCCAAATAAAGACAGGGCGATGCCTCAAAATCTCAAGTTACTTTCCAGTTCCTACCAGACAGAAAGATGCAGTCTCTAATAAGAACAGAACCTTACATTACTAAAAGGATTTCATTTCAGGTAAGAATAGTACAAAAATAAAATGACCACTATAGAGACACAAAATTTCTGTTTGTCCTTCCTATGTGAATGAGTTGTCAGAGAAATGAGCCAAACATTTTGTGCAGCTAAATTTATTCTCACAACACGTTACATTTCAATGTGTAAAAGTGGTCAACAGCAGAAGACATAAAAAGGAAAATGAAACGTCCTTTCAGGACAAGCCAGCTGCTCTGGATGCCAGGGCCTGCTCTCATGGTGGGAGCAGGATCTTTGCTTGGAAGCTGCGTGTCACTGGCTGTAGGCACACATTAGATGTGTACTAGGTGACGCTGGCCAACTAGAGAGCTAATGGTTTTATTAAATTGTGCTAACATCAGGCAGACATTTTTCATGTTGTTTCTGAAATCTTGTGTTGCAATGCTTACGAGATGAGTGTGCCATACAAATGAAGGAAGCTTTGGGGGTTGTTAGTAAATGGCTTTGTATGGAATACTCTTCCAGGTGTCCATCTTAAAATGGGGACTTAAAAAAAGGTAGCAGCGCCAACAGTTTATCACCAAGAACTTGTTTTAATGGAAATGGGTCTAATGTCCCTTCATGCAGTAAGACAGACAAACAGAAAACAATGGTTGTAACTAGCTATGGGTGACCTGTCCAGGTGGAAATGTGTATCTGTCTTTTAGATGAAACCGTACGTGTTGTGAGGGTGTAAAAAAATGAAGCACTGCACAGTGCTTTAGTCTACAAAGGAAAGTTCTTAGCCACAGGCGTGTTGGCTGGTCCCCTGACGCTGCCAAGGTGCACATAGTTGAGGTGGCAAGACTGCATCTAGCTAGCTGCTTTTTAAAAATAAAAGGAACTTTAAGCATTTTTGCCTTTTCTTCTACATATTCCAATAGAAATGTGACTACAAATCATTACAAAACCACCGTTTAGGCAATGTATAGTTCACTGAGATTACTCAGACCTGGATATGATGTAACATAATATCCAGGAGAGATAATACATTAACACAATAATGCGGTATATTTCAGTAAAAATAGAATAAATAAAATAAAAATATTTTAAGCTGTATTTAACAGGTTAATTAAAAAGTGATAAGACATACAAGGCATAGTGAACATGGCTGCGTGTTTACCGAATTGCAGCTGTAAAGAATGCATAGATCACTGAAGCGTCGCTAAGATCTCAGGTAAAACACGGGCATCCTCTCACAAATACATACATTCTTTCATACATACTTTTTGGCCATGGCAGAAAGTGTCTGAACATACTGTTTAACATAATTAATTTTACAAAAATTAACTGCATTTAGTATGCAAAGCTATTTTCAAAACAATATCTGCAGTAAAGTTGTCAATACGCAAAGGCTATCTTTCATCTTACTGCATCTTATAATTGCATATATAAATCAGTTTGCTACTTAAAGCTAGCTCAGTATTCTCGATGCTGAAAAACAAAAAAGGTATGCCTTAAAAAATGAACAGGGGTTTCTGGTAGAGATTTCCTGTAGAAAAGTGGATTACTTGTTTAGAGTTTTGAAATTTATCACACTGAAACGTTTCACTGTGCAGATGAAGATGAACGATCATGACTGAATTTTGAACAGCTTTTCACAGGGCACAGTAAGGTTTTCTTAATGCAGTAATTTGTCATGATGGCACTGGTTACTCCAGACAGAATAGTATGCAAGTTGGTGCAAAGTTTAATGCATTTCTAAAAAGCATCATTTTTGTTGTAACAATAGGGTGCCAGCAAACAGTTCTAGCCCCTCTGCTCCCCGCTCCATGAATTCTGGGAGGGAACGGCAAGCAGAAGGTCTCCTACTCACTCCATCACGTCTTCTGGTAGCTAAACGCCATGAGTTAGGAAAACCTCACAGGCCGAAACAGGCTGCTGAATGTAGACACCTGTCCTCTGCAACACATGGTCCTGGACTGAGGGAGGCAAGGGTTTTAGGAATAATTTAATACCACTGCATAAGGAAACTGGCCATCTTTACTGACTCCAGAGTTCTGAGATTGCCTGACAGTACTTCCATAGCTGCTCCTCTTTGTATGTGCCCAGTCACTTGGAAAGGGTCTTCCTGGCTGAGTGGAGGCAGCCTAGCACAGCAAGGCTGGGACTGTGGTTCCTGGTTCTGGCTCACTGATGAGCTTTGGTGAGATCTTAGGCCCTTTGATGGAAACTTTTGATACTTCATATTTTGATTTTTCTAATGTATTTAGTACCTTTTCTACCTTATAAGGCTCAAATGTGGTAAGAATGTGGAAGCCACTTTGCCAAGTACGAAGCAGTGTATAAACAAAGCATTATTTTTATAGCGATGCTGTAAATGTGAATTTTGACATTAAAAAGTAAGACCGATATTTGAATTGATCTCCTTAGCAACTTCTTTTTAAAACAATGTCAACAAGAGTCTAAATTTGTGTATCTTTATAGCTAAGTTTCTTATCTACATAAAAAGCAGGAAAATGCTATTTTTGAGAAACTGTTAAGCAGTCCATCGTTCCTATGGATATTTTTGCTCTGTTGTGAAAATTTTAAATCTTTAAAGTAAAATGGACAAATATAAAAACTTAAGCTGTATCTAGTTAAGTCCAACAAATTCTAATATTAAATACATAAATTCAAGAAAGATCAACTTAAATGTAATTCGTTGCCATGGACAATATGGGATGGACAGACAGCTTTCTGGACAAAAAGCATTAGAGAAAGGTTGAGCTCAATGCAGAATTCTAGCAGAACAGTGACCTCTAGGATGTGGACTAACAAAAATTAAAATAACAGTGTGTGACAAGAGATACAAAGGACATTCCCTCAACTCCAGATTGCATATTGGCTGGTTATCAAACTACGGATGAAAGGCTTGTGAGGAGTATTTCACATTAGTGTTTGGGTAGAGAATGGCCACCGTGAACTGTAATTCTCTAGCTGCATCGTACAATGTAAGGCAGAAGTTTGAAATATGTCCCATCCGAAATGCAGTATGGTTTTGTTAATCTCTTTTTAAAATAATTGATTTGAAAACCATCTGAAAAGCCTATTTTTTGTTCGATTTTAATTCCTCCAATTTGTTTTTCAATTTTAAAGTCTCACTTTTTTCTAGTATTCCACAAACAGCTGTAGACATGAAATGGTGTCCCATGATCAAAGGGCTCAATGAGGAAAGCGCCAGTTGGTGTCTGTACTGATGCCAACAACCAATTTTGTCATCCAACAGAGTCACTTTTATGAAAAACGAAACCCCCAAACTTGTCATTCCTATTTTTACAGCAATTCAATGGGATCTGATGTTCAACGTCTCAATGTTTCCAGTGCTGAAAACAGACAAAAGTGCTGTAGGGCTCAAAGGTTGCTTGTGACAGGTCCAGTCAAGAGGACAGGGGAACGAACCCAGGCATCATTCACTCCAAGGACGCTCTAGTTCACTAGGCGGGTGTAACCACATTCTTCTCTGTGTGTGTAAAGTCAAGTTCACAATATTTACAATAAGAAAAAGACCTTCCACGGCTCATGATGTAACTTTTACTGACAGCAAAAAAAATTACTCATGCTTCTTTTCATATCACACGATGGTGGCAAGACGAGAGAACATGCTTGTCTAACACTGTTTGGCGAAGGATAAATTCTCTGGAGACAAAGCATCAGCAACTGAACGGAAGGCCAGGTCTCAGTCTCTTATCTTTAGCGTGGCTGAGTCATAACACAAGCAGCTATGGCGTTTCTGTGACAGGGCGCTTCTGTTTCAAAGTGTCAATGAGGGATAAGACCCCTCGTTTTACATTGGTTGTTACTCTTCTGGTCATTGAGTCTGCTGGCGGAGGAGGTGGTCGAACTTTCTGTAAAGGTGGCCTGGCTACCAAGCACTTCTGGTACCGTAACTGAAATACAAAAAAAAAAAGAGGTAATTAACAATGTATTATTTCTTCTTTAATATAACTGTAATTCATCACTAATATATTGACTTCCCAAAAGTTAATGAGCTAGTTCCAAAACGTAAACCCAAGAATTTCTTATTCTTAATGTGCGTCTTTTAAGTCCCCCTAAAAGATCATTGGGCTCGTCAGTGGCGTCCTGCTTTGCCACCCTTTCCTTCCACCCGTTCCCACTCTAATTCTCTGTGCTGATAGCCTATAGTCTCACAGTGAGCTGAGGAAAACAAAAAGGATCAGGATGGGGGGAACAAAATTTCCCATCAGAGAGACATGTCCATCTAAGCAGCTGCTCGTGACTCTTGGCAGAGTAGAAAGGACACAGTTTGAATCCAGGTTCTAGCGCTGTGAGCCGGGTGACTCCAGTTATTCCGTCTCTCCATCCTGTACAGTGACTGAAGAGTGGCGACCTTCATAAAGAGCATAGAAGGCCTAAACGAGGGCTAGCAGTATAAATGTTGCTGTCCCTACTTCCTGCTTTGATAGAAAAAGAATGATGCGTTGTGACTTCAGAATATATGTAATATTCAAGTACAAATCCTAATGGATTAACTTCAAAAAGATCTATCGGCATTGACACCACAGGCAATCTCTATCCTTCAGAAACATAATGCAGCCCACCTGTGTGTATTAATGGGAAATAAGTAATTCTTCAGTATTAGATGAAAAGGTTATAATTCACGACATTTTTTTCCTAATCCAAGCAATTTAAAGTAAATGATTTTAAAAATCAGCATAAATCTTGTAGGTTCTAGGCATGATCATACAACAGGTTGATGTTCCTCCTAAGAAGCACTAAACATCTACGGTCAGACTCTGGGAGGGGTGTGTCACGCCCCACAGGCCACACACCCAGAAAAGGCTGATTTATTACATGTTTGCTCTTTTTGAGGCATCTTGCTAGGTCCACTTCACAACTCAGACCACACCCACCTCGAGCATGAATTTACTGACAGGCAGGTGTGGCGGCAGGGGACCCTGCACGTGGAATTTCAAACAGTAGTTCTGTCCATCAGTGTGAATCAAGACTGCCCCTAACTGATGAATTTTATAAACGACTTTCTCTGTCCTATTGTAAATTTCACAATAACCTCTTCACTGGGGCCTATAGGACATGGCTGGAAAATATGCCTAAAGTGAAGTAGATTCAAAAGAACGTGTTAATACCACATTTCAGATAGTGTAAGTTCAGACACAGATATTCCAGATGGAGAATCATGCAGATCCGAATCAAGAAAAAGCCACTGTGCTAGAAAAGCTGGATCCAGAGTGGGCTGAGGAGCTTGGATTTTACCCATAGCTTTACACAGCCTCGTGTGAGCTACGCCAACTGGGTGCACTAATGCAATGAAAACAGGAATCAAATGAGGAAAAGTTATTTCCAAGAGGGAAAACAAGTCTGGGAACCTGAAAACAAACTAGCCAGTGATAAAGGTAACTACCTAGTTGCCATCAGCATTAAAATGTATAATTACAGCTGAAAACCATTTTATAATCCAAACCTATCTCTCATGATCCCTTTCAATTTCATGAAATATCAATAGTCATTTTTTTTTTTGACTTAAGTCTCCCATTCTCTATTTGCTTCACGTACCCCTTTACTCCATCCCCATGCCCTGCACCTGGTTTGTGGGTTCACTGACTCCTGCACCTCCAGGCATGAACCTTAGAGACTGGCTCCTCAGCACTTGAGAGGGACTCTACTGAGTGACTGGGGGGAACTGGGGCCATCCTAAGTGTGAACAGGTCTTTCCTCCTGTCCTCCCTCCTCCTTCCATCCATGTCAAAGGTGCTTTTTTTTTTTTTTGGTGGTACTGTTTGAACTCAGGGCTTCACACTTGTGAGGCAGACACTCTACTAAGCCTCCAGCTCTAAGGTGTCTTTTAAAAGTCAATCTGTTTTTTTCCTATTCTCCACCTTTGCCACCTGCCCTCCTGCCTCTTCTTATATTAGCAGTTACCATATATAAAAAAAAAACAAACCCAAAAATCCCAAGCAGAACCCAACGAATAAATGAAACAACAGAGTTCCCTCTACTTCCCTGTCCTCTGGTCTTCCTATTCCTGGCTTTTTAGCACCTTCTGGCTTGTCTCAAAGTAAAAGGTCCCTAGCCAGTTTGGAGGCTAATGGCCTTGTCTGGACTCTTCACTTCCCACCACTTCTCCAAGGCCCTGCTGCAGCTGCAGCACATTCTGAGAAATGTGTTGTCAGGTGATGTCATCCTTGTGTGACCGTCACAGTGTAGTTAACAAACCTAGGTGGTGTAGGTAGAGACTACACAGCTAGGCTGTATGGCACAGCCGGTTTGCTCCCAGGCTACAGACCTACACAGCATGAAGACTGAGGGCAACTGTCACACAATGGTGAGTGTTCGTGTACCAGAACACGTCTAAGCTGAGGGTACAGTAAAAATACAGTATCAGATAAAAGCTGGTACACCTGTGTAGATCACATGCTTGGCCAGAGCTCGCAGGCCCGGAAGTTGCTGCGGGTGGGTCAGTGGGTGGGTGGCGGGTGGGCGTGAAGGTCAAGGGCATGGCTGAGCACTACTGCGTACTTCATAAACACCGCACACCTGGGCAAAACCAGACCTGTGACAACTCTCTTCAGTAATAAACCTTAGTTTAACTAACTTTTACTTCCTAAGCTCTACTTTTTAAAAGACTTTTTGAACCTTTTGTAATACTTTGCCTGAAACACAAACACACTGTAGGTGACAGGAATGTTCCAGTTCCGGAAGAACCCTACGGAGCCCCTGTGGTAGAGGCTGGATGTCACTGACAAAGTGCGATGAGGCGCACAGTGGATGTGTTCACACATCCTTCTTCACACCCACCTCCTTCAGCGTCCCCTCAGCCTACGGACGCCTGCAGACCACTCCTGCCCTAAGACAAGCAGACCTGCCAGCGTTGCCCTGCAGGAGCCCCCGATGGGTGGACTTTCTGAGTCATCTACTGTGAGGGCCTCCCCTTCTTCCTCCTCGTGCCCGCTCAATTCAGTCTCATTCCTTCATTTCTCGCCTTTTCCTCACTACGCTGGGATTTTGGGTTATGGGTCATGGGGTTGGTCATACTGAGTCATGCTTGAACTCCCCCAAGTTTGGCCCACAGCAACTGGATGGAATAAAACACAGCACAGAGGCCTGCCCAGCCTCCCTCACCCTGGCCAGGCAGCTCTCTACAATGTGGCTGAGATCGCCCTCCCATGCCTGCTCTCCTGGCTTAGACCAGCCTCCGAGCTGATTACTCTCCTTTGGCTGGCCTTTTGTACCACCTCCACTTGGTTATCTTCTTGCTGGAATATTCTTTGTTTTGTCATGATTTTTTTGAGATATAGCTCAGACTGGCCTGGAGCACTCTGTAGCCCAGGCTGGTCTCAAACTTGTGATCTTTCTATCTTAGTCTCCCAAGTGCTGGGATTACAGATGGCACTACCACACCTGCCTCAACTCAGTGCCTGTCATAGTAGTGCTCAGTGAATAGCTGTTCAATGAATGATGAAGTATTTTTGTTTCAAACTGTATACAGTTAAAATGCCCTGACTTTATTACCTGACAGCTTAGGGTTGACCCCAGGCTCTGTCACCAACACTGTGCCTGGTGGCCCACTTTTACTTCTCTGACCCTCTGGTCTCATAAATAAAACAGGCTAACAACTACCTAACAGGGTTGTTGTCAGGACTGAGTTAAAAGATATAAAATAAATTAGAACAATGCACTTAAACTAATCAAAGTTGCTCAGGACATTTTATTTTTAAAGTACTCAGCTGAATGCAGACAGTAACAACACACACCATGGCATTTCCTGGCCACACATTGAAACTGATTTGGAGAACCATTCTTCCCAGTGTTACAGGACTCTCCAGAGGATCTGGTTTGGGCTGGCCTGGCTTCATTCGAGAGCCCTGGCCTCTGGACTTGTGAACTGCTTGTCATATAATTGGTTTTTCCCACGGCAACAAGAGTGCCACCAAGTACAGTGATACTTTGAAAGTCACACATTTTTTCTGCGAATGATTCTGCTCTATCTGTGGCACACAGACTGGCAGGGGCGGAGGGCTGAACCCTCGCCGTGGGGGTCACTCACCATGCAGGCAGCCTGGACGGCCTCCGACACGCTAGCAGCATTAGGCTCACACCAGAACACGTGGCACTCAAAGCACTGGTTCCCAGTGTCCATGATGAAGGCAAATGTGTGGACATCCTTCCCGACACCCATGAAGGACAGGAACCGTACTCGGCACTCCACCAAGATGTCCTCTTCATTCTGTAAGAGACTTGGTTCAGCAGTCTCCACTCTCTGGGAAGCCAGGCGACAGCCACCAAAACTTTCACATCCTAACAAATCACAGAGCCCAGGAGATCGGACCGTGTTAGAAACATGGCCAGATTAAACTCAGAAAGGCAAAACCCTGCCTACGTGTCCAGAGAGGCCATCACGGCTGTGAGTGTCTCGTGGAAGCTCACCTTGCTCTGAACACTGCTGTCCTGGTCTGTGATGTGTGTCCCATTGTGTACACCATACCCTGAGTCTACGAGCTCACTGTGGGGGAAAACCAAGTCATACAGACTTCTTATATACTGCACAGCATAGGGCACACAAGTGACTCAAATCCAGTTTGCCCAGGTGAACCCGATGGGCACCAGGAGGAAAAGATTCACTGTATCTCTCTTCATCTGGTTCTTCTACTCAAAGTGCACTGCACAGTGAATCATATTTCTATCTAAAACTGTATAAAACAAAAAGTTGCCAAATCAACTGACATGTCAAGTCATTTCCCCCATTTCTACCAACTGATATCCATATGAGGCCATGTAAATGTCTAGAATTCATTCTTAGGATTATAAAGACCACATCCTCTGCAATAAGCACACGAACTTTTTTAATTAGTAAACATGCCCAGAGTGTCAACTTTCAGATTGGAACATCCTGACTTGTTCAATGTTCCCTGAGTGGTCGGGGGAGCTGGTGTGAGAGGCCAGGAGGTTTTCTTGGGAGAAGTCTTGGTGTCAGGATCTGGGAGGATGCTGGGTGGGCAATGGGGCAGAGTGTGGAAGGACAGCGCTGACTGGGATGCTAGGAGGGGAACAGCATGGCGACAGGCTCCAGGAATAGAAGGAAATTCAGTGTGGTCCGCCAGAGTGGTAGGCAGGTCAGTGAGCATCCGCCTCTCTCTACAGGCTGAACTGGGCTTGAGGGGGACCTGCTGGTGGCAGGAGCAAGGACAGGTGCTTCATGGGCAGGATTTTGAAAAGAGATGGAGTCCGGGGCTAGACAGTCTGGCTTTGAAGCCTAGTCCTGTACGATGGTGGGCAAGTTACTTATCTCCCGGTGCCTCAGTTACCTCAACTACAACAGTAGACAACTGGGTTGAGACTAATGCTGGTCTCTGTCAAGATGACCAATGACCTCTTCCACTTCTGACAGTGTAAATCACTGGGCTTCCCTAACACAAGCATCTTTTGCACCAGATAGCAAGGCCCAGTCCACACTGGAGCCCTGAGAGGGACTGGCCAGACCCCAAACTCATGAGTGAGCTATAGTTAGTGCCACACAATTACTGCTAGCAGATAATTTCACTCTCTTGAGTAAGTGAGCAAGACAGAATCAGGAGCACCAAGGTAGAAGTTTCCAGGCCTGGAGGAAAGAGAAGTGTGTCCAGTTAGACTGAGCCCAAGGCCAAGCTCTTCTATGAATGCAGAAGCACAACTACAGAGTAAGCACAACTCCCCAGAGCTCAAGGCTTGGCTTGGCTTCCCAGTTCATGGAAGACCATCGAATACAAAACCTCCCTGCAACCCAGAAATGCCAATGTCCTCTCCAAATCCTTCTCACCTTTTCACTGATGACCGTCACAGTGGCATCGGCCACATTCATGTTCACTGAAGGCCAATCCTCCTGGTTAGATGAGGTCATAAGATTTTCTATGGCACTGTTCAGGGTGTCCATGCCTGTTCATGGAAAAGTTAAGTGAAGAAGTGCTAAAGTTACTGATTGCTCTCAGGGCAGGCCCAGTCCCCCAGGATCAGCTCCACCTGAGTCCATCTCTGTCCAGACACTTCATCACTTCAGCCTCATGTGAGCTTGGAAGAAAACCATGGCTGGTTTTCTAACAGGAAGAAAGATCTCGAGCTCCTCCAGGGATTTGCTGTGCCCCAAGGATCCCCCAGCCCCGAGGGTGTGCCAGCATGCAGCAAATGCTGCCTTTGTCCATGTAGGGGACTGGGGAAGGGGACCCGAAGGAAGCCAGCATCTGCCAGCACACCTGACCTTTCATTGTACGTGATATTTAACAAGGTCAAATATGACAGCCCCTTTGATGTGAGTAACACATGCTAAGCAGCGAGGTCCTTTGCTGGGTATTTTTGGGAACTAGAAGTAGGAAGACCAACTTTACTCCAAAAGAACTCACATGGAACTCACTTATGTGAAGCGTACGCTCAGTAGTTTTTGGTATATTCAGAGCATAACTATTACCCAAATCATTTTAGAACTCTTAAAATGAGGAATACCACCAAAGAAACCATGTTCATTTTTCTACCCTCCAGCCCCAGGTAACCACTTACTTGCTTCCTATGGCTTGAGATCTGCCTGTTCTGAGCACTTCTTATTAATGAGATCACACAGTATGTGTTTTTTCTGTGACTGACATCTCTCATTTAGCTTAACACTGTTAAGGTTAATCTATGCTGTGGCAGGTTTCAGTAGTTTGTTCCTTTTTTTTCCCAAATCAAATTCCACTATGTGTAAGTGACATGTTTTATTTGCCCACTTGTCTTTCCATTTTTTAACTATTATGAACATTTGTGCACGTTTTTACTATTGTGAGTCACTTGTGCGCAGAGATCAAGTGTATGTGTAGGAACAGAACTTCTGTTAAATGGCCAGAATGGTTTCCAAAGCAGCCATCTCAAGTTGCCCCCAGCAGGGCATAAGGGTTTGAATTTCTCCATAGCTTTCTAGTGAGGTCAAGACTACATCTCTTGGCCTCTATTCAGCTTGGTGAAGCTCAGCAACCGAGATGTGAGCTGAATTCTGTGGGGGACACTGCTGGGTCACAGCTTAAAGGAGGACACAGTGGCTCCCTCAGTTCTTCTTCCCTGTCCCCCAGAGGACAAGAATCAACATAGGAGATGCTTTCCTAGAGCCGGATGCCCCCTGGAGAATGGCAGAGCCCCACGTGGTCCTAGGCTGCACATGTCAGGGGCTTGTAAAAGTCCCTGTAGGCTGGGGTCACCTGTCAAGTCAGTTTAGTGTTCTCTATTGCTTATGCGATATGAGCTCTGGTTGGCTGCAAGACAAGGTGGGGAAGGGACACAGTAGACTTCATTTTCCTGGGGAGTGCCCCCATCCCATGAACAGCTGAACCTGTGAGAAGTAGCAAGGTGGAAAGGTAACGAATGACTGGCCTGTGTACCGGCAGCACACCCAAGAACTGCACGTCCCACTTACCGACTGGCCTGTCCACAGGTAGTGCGCCCAAATACTGCACGTGGAACTTCTGCACCAGCTCAGTCTTTGGTGTTGGAAAATCTACTACAGGGAACAAAAGCAATGTGTTTCCCAGGGGTTCCAGCATATGTGTGAAAACTGCCACCTGGAATATCCAGAACACCTGGGTCATGATGTCCTGTTTTAGAATGTCCTATAAGGACTGCTATCTCTGAACAGTCAAAATCCTATTCAGCTTTCATTTTGAGGTAGAGTAGCGTTTGAAGGCAGGAACTGGATGTGTTAAGGCTGCTGCTGTCTCTCTGATGGGTGCTAAGAAACAGCTTTGATACTCTATTTGTTAGGTAGGGCTGACAACTAAAGAGAATTTAATGACAAAGGCCACAATCACAGGCACAGGAAAAATAACTGAAGAGACCTCCAAATAATAAGCCACAGATTTTTAAACTGGATGGTTCTTACCTCAGGCTGTACGTGAGTTCTAAGACCACTATGGCCTAATGACGATTTTTTATTTTTCTGGCAGTACTGGGGGTTGATCTCAGAGCCTGGCAGTTGCTAAGCACGTATGCTACCACTGGAGCTACTCTGCCAGCTCTTTTTACTTTCGTTATTTTGTGGATAGGGTTTTGGTTTATGCCTGGACCAGTCTGGACTGTGTCATCCTATTTGTGCTTCCCTGCATAGCTGGGATGACAGGTATGCGGTTTTTCCAGGCTGGTCTGGAACTGAGATCCACCCAGTCTCTGCCTCCTAAGTAGCTGGGATTACAGGCTTGAGCTGCTGTCCCTGGTGACAGTATTCATAAATCTTGTCAAAAGGCAACAAAACCAACCCACCCTTTGTGCCCAACTGCACTGATGCACATACACCTCCCGTCTGCTGACAAGTATGCTTTTTAGGGAGATGCACAACACCAGAGAACCACTTGATCATTCAATCTTGCCAGGATGTACAGCGCAGTAATGGAGGAGATGCAGCTGACCTACCTTGCAAAGGAACACCAAGGTTCACGTTGGTCCTCTCCTGGAGGGAGCTGCAGGCCAGGGCTTTGGCATTTTTCCGTTCAGCCATAATCTGAAGATAAAGTGAAGACACAGATTGGGTTCAAGGTCACAGGCCTCACAACTAGGCCAGCCAGTAAAGCGTGTGGGCTGATTTCACTTTGACTTCAATCAGCTTTTATTTTTTGCCTGATTTCCCACCCCTGTATCTCTGGACTATGTATTTTGATGAGAATTTTGCTTATTTTCTCTGGGGACAATAGGCGAACTGTTCCTCAAAGTAATGGCCTCCTAATTGTTTGGAATTTTCTTCCTTCCTTTACCAGGCTCCAGCCCCTGCTGAAACAATTTAACACCTATCCCCTTGCTATGCTTGGACCTGCTGGCTCGTGGTGGTCAGTGGGACACAGAGCAATGGACTTCCCAGTGTTGCTGCATGCTGACTTTCAGGTTCTCTTTTCAGGACATGGGAGACAGAGAATGTGGTTTCAAGCTCCACCTCCCCCACTTACTAGCTGTGTGACCTCGGGTGAGCCTTCTACCCTGCTGTGTCTCATTCTCTTGACAACTGTTCTGACTAAACGAGTATGGCAAACACTCAGCGGGATCAGAAATGCCAGTTGTGGTCAATGCTGTTCTTCTCAACCCCTCCAAACGATCTCTCTTCTGTTAGGGACACTGACATCTGCTGTGCTCAGCGCTGTTGCTTTTCACTCCTTCCCTGCCAGCGACATGGGGCTGTGAGTTTAAGGGCTGAAAGAAGTCCAGCCTTCAGTGACCCCAAAAGTGACTATTCCAATCTTTCTCTTGTGGGGTAAAAGTCATTTCACCCCAGAGCCCCACTGTGCCCAGCTCTCCAGACAGAGGGCAAGAGAGCCACTGCCAACAGCAACACAGTATCAAGTGCTCCCTCTGTGTCAGGCCAGGTTGTGAGGGCTGACACCAGAATACAAGACCAATGGGCAAGGGTTTTTTTTTTTTTTTTTTTCAGTTTTGGACATGGCATTCAAGTGTACTTGTTGCATGAGTGAATGAGAAAAATGAAACCTAAGGGGTGTGCTACTTGTAGCAAATGGTACAGCCACGCCAGACCACGAACACAGGTTGGGGGCACGTGATGATCTCTGGGCCAACATCTGCTGCCCACAGCGCTGCTGCATGGTCAGAGCAGCAGCCAGGTGGGCTAGGACCACTCCAATCCCTACGCCTCTCTTGGGCACCATGGTTTGCACCGGCTCTGTGCCTGTGGCTCAATTACTACCTGGACTGGGTCTCCCCCAGCTCAGGAGGAATTGTGGCAGGGAGGCTGGGTCAGAACACCAGCCTGACTGAAAGGAGACACTGGACAGAGGCAACGGCAAAATCCTATATTTAGACGCAGTCGGTTAAACAGGACTGGGGAATGGAGAGGCCCTGCTCGGGGGAGCTGCAGATGGTGTCCTGGGAACGCAAAGCAGGAGGTGATGTGGTGCCCAAAAGACCAAGCAGCCAGTGCTGTGTCATTGGAGGTCAAAGGACAGAGAAGCCCACGGTCTGCTCTCAGCTGGCTCTTCATTTGGGGGGACCCACTAGCATGTGTCAGAAGAGGGTGATGACCTGCTGCAGTTATGACACAGCAAGGCTTCAAGATGGGAAGGGCTGGCCAGCACAGACACCTGCTGCAGAGCCAGGTGTCAGTGAGTTCTAGGGAGGAACTGAGGGTCAGAAGCATGAGATCTTGAGAACTCTGTAACAACCAGAGCTGCTCGGTGGAAGAACAGCCTCCCAAGAGGAAAGAGACCTACAGGAGCCCATGGCATTGCCGGGCAGAGAGGTGTCTGTGTGGGCAATGCCAGGCTGGAAAGGGAGGGGGAAGGGGCTGGCAGTGCAGGCTGTTTGTCCTCATTCTGACACTGGATCTCAGTGAAGGAAGCAGGATCTATACCAGTGGGGACATGATATCTGACCTGCCTCCCAGCTGTACAGTGAACTTCCATGTGTCATTGCAGTCACTGTGGACAAGTGGCCACCCCCAGCTGCCTGCATCTGCAGACACTCTGGATGGATGGCGTCTCACTGCCCTTCCTTCCCTCTGGTCCTGCTCTCTACCTGCTCTACTCTCAGACCCAGTGGCCCTGCGTCTGCGGGTCTGCCCTGACTCCCTTTTCCCGTCAGGGGCACTGACCTGCCACTGTGTGGCCCACCTACACTCTACAGCTACAGCCTGGCCTGCGCAAAGGATACGGTTCTCTTCACTTCGCAGAGAGGACCATGTGGGTAACACCTGGCCCACAGCAAGAGCAGTCAGCCTTCTGCATGAGGGTTGCAGGGTTCGTGTGTGCAGATTCAAGCAGTCAGAGATTGAAACTGGCACATTGTTACGGATCTGTAGTGTCTGAACCGGAAATATGTGGCCCCTTCCTTGTCGTTAAGCAATACAGCCTAACAGCTACTCATAAAGCACTGACATTGTACCGGGTATAGTGAGCAATCTGGGGATGATTTGCAAGTATCTGCCAGGATCCTGCAGGTGACACGTTACTACTGCACATCTTACATGAAGGACTTGCATATCCAAGGATTTTGGTGCTTTCTGGGGTTCGGTTATTAATGCCCTGTGGATTTCGAAAGACCACTGTACACTAGCGGCACGGGTGGAGCAGACATTGTGCTTGCTTCTCCCTGAGGTCAGTGTGAGGCAGCTCGCGGTGGGCCGCTGTGCCCTCTCCCGCCTTACCTTGGAACAGATCTCGTGGAGACTTGTGGCGATGGCTTTTGCTGGTGTGTCACATCGAAATACATGACATTTCAAAATTCTTGTATCTTTGTCTCTTGCAACATAAGCAAAATCCCTGTGCAAACCAAATTGATCAGGACATTAGAAAAGAAACCTTTCACCAAACTTTCTCCAGTGAGAAGTGTTAGTTGAGCTAGCAGCCAACAGTGAATGGTGGATGACTGTTTAAAAAACAAAACTACAGAGAAGAGGCACAGTTTTATGGATGTTAGAAATTCAATTCCACGTAACATAACTACAGTGTCCTCTGAATGCTGTCTCTGGAGTCCTTGGAGTGGTTAGCAACCCTGAGCACACGCTGAGTCATGTAGAACCCTTGCATCAAGTGTAATAACAAACACGATGACTGTGCAACAAAACACAGGCTCGGGAGGGCATGGACCGCACAAGTGACACGAAGACAAACATGGTGGGGTAGGAGAGGCAAAACAATAGACCCTGATATGTGAATAGGTGCACAGAGAGCAGGCCACACCACAGCTGCCTGAGAAAGTTGATGGGCCATAGGAGGGCCGGCCAGAGCACAGAGACCCCATAGACCTGGTCCCACCCCAGCACCAGGCTCTGCCCAGCACCTCTGTACTCCAGCGCTCTGGCTCTCAGCATCATATTTAAAAAACTGTTGTTAGCTCAGACAGCCCCTGAGCAAGTGGCCAGTGCTGGCTTTTACTATTTGTTTTGCTGATAAAAGGATATCTAGTATGACATTACTTGGCTTCAAAAGAACCACATGGCACAATTAAAGTTCTCACAGTGACTACTGTAGGACAGCGGCTCACAGATGAAGTGTTTATGAAAAAGAAGAGCCCGGTGTTACCCACCCCCTTGCGGATCACAGTGATTGATCTGTGTGATGCTAAGCCACGATATTGTCTGTTCGCAGGACTACAGATCAATTTTTTAATCTATTTTCACTATGGAAGCCCAGGCTGGTCTGGAACTGGTGATCCCCCTCCCTCAGCTTCCTGAGTGCTGGGATTAGATGTGTATCAGCAACTGAATTTATTTTCACATTATTTCTCTCAAAACAGACTTGGCAGTCTGTCCATGGACTGTGACAGTCCTTTCCTCAGGACAGCATGGTTCCCTTGGAAGGCACAGGGAGCTCGCCCTGGAGCCAGATGACCATCGTGAAGGCCTGGCCAGAAGAAAAGTGGGGTTTGGGGGAGGGAGAGCTGGTGAGGCAGAGGGACTGCGAGAGAGGCCTCCCCTGCACTTTCACCTCAGCCTGTCCCCATCAACTTGGGATCTGCTCCAACTGTCCTCTCGGTCTACCTTGGTGTCTTTCATACTAGAACCGTACCCTAGTCCCCAGTCCTGGTCTGGCCTATTCTACTGCTTGGATATACCCCGAATCCCTCATTCCCTCTCTAGCCTGACCAGCACCCAGCATCCTAGGAAGTTCTCACCCTTTGCCTGTGCTCATACATCTTTACCCCACTACCCTTGCAAGGTTTGGCGCCTCTTCCTGGCATTCCCAGTGCCTTGTCTACTCTGTACTCGCACTGGCTACCAGAAGAGTTCAGTTTATCTAACCTGCAAGTTCTTGCAGGTCCACGCAGAGGGTCTGTGCCTCACTCACCCCCAACACCCGGTCCAGGCCTGGCTGTAACAGCTACTAGTGATGTGCAGAAGCCGCTGCTTCCTCCTTGAGGCAGGAGTTTGTTCACATGTCCCTATCCCAGCAGAGAAAGCTGGCCCTTTGTCACAGGTGTGCAGGGGACAATAACAATGCATGGGGGAATGGGTCTAGGAGAGGAGCTACAGACTTCAGGGGGCCCAGACTTGGAGAGGTGAGCCCAGTGTTGCTCCACACTGTGATCTCCTTCCCCTCCTGTCTCAACAACCATCAAGGTGACATTAACTAAAAAAGAGATGGCTCCCTTTTGGAGAGCATGCTCAAGGGAAGTCTTGATTCTGAAGCCACCCTCATTGTCTAGATAGATCATAAAGTAAACACAATGTCTTACCACATCCAGTTCTCTTTCTTTGAAGTTCCAGGCTCAGTTGCCACTTTCCTGACACCAAATCTCTCCAAAGCTCCCTACAGCCATCCACAGAGTCCAAACACCTTTGCTTGGATTTTAGAAGTCACGAAATTTGTTCCACTGACTTCCCAGCATTGTTCCTCCACGTGGGGTTCTCTCCTCTGCTTGGAAAAGTGGATCGCCATGTCTGCTCATTGTGTTAGCTTCCTTTGCTTGGTGACACCTGGCTCTCTCTCACTATCCAGAGCACACCTACCTACCCAGTGCAGCCTACCTGAGGCTTGCCTGGCTCTCAGCATCGAGGGTCTGGCTTGACTCAGTGCCCACGCCACATAAGTTCTGCGCTGCAAAAGAGACACTCATTGTACACCATCCTTTGTAGTTGCTGTATGTCACAGCTATGTCCATCCTCTCGGGCAGCCCAGATTTAAGTCTCATTCTGGTTCTACTGAGCTGCATGGGTTAGACTCCCAAGTTCAAGAACCCAAAATCCAACACTTTTCAAGCCATACGTGGAAAACTCCACATCGTGAAACTTGGTTTCTTAAACAAAATTATTAATGACCCTCTATGTGTGGCTATGTGTGGTAGGTGTATATGAAACAGAAAGAATTCCTGTTCAGATTTAGGCCCCATCCCAAAGACACGTATCACATATGCAAATATCCCCACATCCCATGCCCGCTGGACAAGCGGTGACCAACCCATACAACCTCTGGCACAAAAGTGAGCCCCACTTAAAATGGGTAGAAACACTGATTTCCAAAGTCCTTCTCTGATCTGCCATTCTCTGATATAAGCTTCCAGGAGTCACCAGTGTGTCCATGACTGCCGGCAGACCTGGCATCATGACCCCAAGGATAGAGCAGGGAGGATCAAACAGGCTGGAGGATAAGCAGGATTGTTCCTGTGAGGCTCCAGCTTTGTGCCCTCTGTTTTTTTACATGTCACCCTCAGGCATAATTTTGAAAAATTATTACTATTAATCTTCATTTTCTTTTGGCTCGGGGAAGGTGATGTATGCCTGAAGGGCAACTGTCTGGAACTCGCATCTTCCCAAAGGAGAGACTCGGCAGCCGCAGACTTCTTTGTGTTGGGAATCTCACCATTTTTTAAAGAGCTGTATCTATTCCTTGTTCCTCTCAGGTAGGGGGCTAGCAGAGGAAAGGCAGACCTCTGCCAGTCCAGGGCAGGAGAAGAGGTGAGTAGCCAGCCCTCTGCAGGCTTTACCTTGCTTTGTGGAGGTCAAGAGCTTCGCAGGTCGCCTCCATCATCCCCATGGGATGCATCCTGAGTCACCCTAAAACTGTGATCAGCCCTAAATACAGAGGTCTGCAGGAGGCAGCGAGGCTGTTCCCTCAGACCTGGGCGGAGTGTGGACCAGCCAAGCGACATCCTCTGTGCACAGTGAAATACATGGCTCCCTGATCTCGCTGCTTTTCCCATGAAGTCCAAGTACCACTTCACAGCTTGTTTGAAAAGCTGCCTTTCAGCACCTGCCTTTTGAAAAAGGCAGTGGTGGACACAATAACGACCCCTCCCCTGTGTCCTTCCCACAGATGTCCTTGTTCCAATTTATGGAATCTGTGAAGGGGACCTTTGCAGATGTGCACTACATTTAAGGATCTTGAGATGGGAATGGTACCCTGGTCATTTGGTGGTCCAATGAGATCTCAAGGCATTTTGTTTTCTGAGGTGCTGGGAACTGAAATCACTAGGGAAAGGAGAAGGTACCTGACTTATGAGTGAAAGGACAGGGGTGGGGCCCGAAGCCAAGGGAAACAGATACAGGTAGCCACACGGATTTCCCTGGGAATCTTTAGAAGGAAAGCAGCCTGCTGCTGTGATCTTTAGCCTAAGACTCATTGTAGACTTATGACCTCAACTGTGAGAACAAACCTGTGCTGCTGTAAGCTGCTTGGTTTGTGGTAAGTTGTTACAGCAACAACAGGGTATAAGCACAGCTGCCATATGGCTTTAAATTCTAACTAAATTACGGTTGGTATTTGTATTTGTAAAATATTCCATTCACTTCCACAGTTTTCTTCTGTACCTGTGATGCAAATGCAGACAGACCAGGTCTCAACCTGGGAAGTCTACTGACTAATGGCACAGACAGGTTAGTGACATGTGAACTGCTTTAGGTATAATATGGGCCTCTTCAGGGTAAGCAGGCAGAGGAGTACTTGAACTCCTGGCTGTCTTCTGCATATACATGGGGCATTGGTGAGGAGCTGTGGTGTGGCTGCAGGGAAGCCATCCAGGAATTCAGAATCGGTTCACATAGGACTTTGTGCCTTGCGAGGCATCTGACCCTTACTCTGACCCAATCAAGCCTTATAATATCACATGTGGCCCCGCCCAGTGCGTGCTTTATAAAGACCCTTCTTGTGGAGCAAAGTCGCCAAGGGAAGGTGGACACTGGAGGTTACTGCTGTGGTTCAGGTGTGGGAGGAAGAGCCAAGTACAGGCTGAATTAGGATCCGTGAAAGAAGTGTTGCAAAGGAGGGCTGCTGGGTCCGCAGATGAGGGAGAGAATCAACAGTAACTTGGGGGTTGGTGCTATACCCCCAGTGACAAGACAGGGGAAGAAAGGAGCTCAGGCTGGCGAGGGGACTGCTGAACATCCAGGTGAACGTTAAGTGCTTGGGGACACCAGCTGGTGAGACCCACCAAGCAGGTGGTCACTTGGTCCCTGGGCTCGGGCTGCAGACATGGGTCTGGGAGGCAGCTGAAGCCAGACTTTAAAGGCCTTGCTGAGACAGAAGAACTGGAAAGTGAGGAAAGGGTGTGGGAAGGGGGAGGATAGGCCCAGGTGAAGCTGGGTCCAAACACATGGAAGCAAGGGTGGCTCTGGGAGGAGGGACGGAGCAGTAGGAGACAGACCACCTGGTCTCTTCAATAAGGAGGTTTGTAGTGACCTTGGGTCTAGGCCCTGTCCCTGGAGAAGGGAGTTTGGAGCCTAGCTGAGGGGTATAGGAGTTAAAAGAGCAGAGTTCATCTCCCCACTTTTTTCTTTTTTTAAATACTTCTCATATGGAACTTTTCAAACACACACAAAAGTACAAGGGACAGTAAACGAACTCCATGTCCCATCACACAGCTTCTACAAGGATCAAAATGTCACCAACCAACTAGACTTTTAAGTGGCTTTCCTCTCCCATAACGGCTAGCTGCCATCATGCCCACGTGTAAGAGTAATCTCATGTTTTCTGATGATTTCCTGTATTCTGAGGGTGTTACACACCTTCACAGCCGGAGGACCCTGACACTGGGTAAACCTAACCCTGCACAATCAGCCCAGGGCCAGGCATGTGAACTTGGAGATGACAGCACCAGGGATCATGTGACCATCAGGTGTCATGTGTCCGCTGGGCAGGGCCTGCAGCAGCTCTGACACAGCATGGGGTGCAGGGCAGGCCAGTCCACAGCAAGGACATTGCAGGAGCCTTCACCCTGGATGGCTCTCTTTTTTAGAACTGCTGGTGGTACCTCTGGCTGGGTGTCACAGACAAGATTCTCTGACGTCCCTAGATGACAGGGTGCCTCACATAGCCAGGCATCCTCCAGGGACACTCAGCACCTTGTCTACAAAATCACACCACTGCCAAAACAGTTCCAGGGTCCCAGTGAAAACATGACACCTATATTCCCACCTGTTCTTCTAAGAGCCCTGTCTGAGATGTTCAGTCTGACACTAAGGGAAGTAGCAGGGACCATTTTGTCCTTTGTTCCAGCTCACACCATGCACAACACTGGACCAGGAGCTTCTGTCAAAAGAGATGCAGAGTGGTGCTCCACTGCCTCGATGCACAGTTCTCCTCCACAGGCCATGGAGAGGAAGGCTGGCACAGAAGATAGCTTCTGAGTCTCCTTAAAGGGAAACAGAAGCTAGCAGCAGGCTGATTACTGAGTGCTGTGTTTTCAGCTCTTTTGTGCTTGTCCTTACGCTGTCAATCCACTAATTATTTTCCCCAGAGGGCAAGCTGCAAGTTCTGCCAGAGAAAAATGGCAGTACTGAAACATCTTTGAACCCTCAAATTTCTTAATGGCAAAGAAGAGGACTGAAGGTTGCTTTCATTCTTCTCAGCTGTACAGCGTTCTTGTTGCCCTGGAGGGCTTGCTTTGTTTTTATGGAATGAACCAATAAACAACTCTTTATTCCAATGGGTTCCAGTAAAAAGCAGCCAAGAAACAGTTTACCTTTCCTAAGCTTCTCCTGCACCTCTCTAGGGAAAGTAACATTGCTACATGTCTACCCTTCCTCCAAAGGAAGCTAAGAGAGGTCTACAGGCCTCTTGGCTGTCACAGAGGCTTGCTCGTGAAACTCTCCTCTACAGCCATCCCACAGGGATGCTTGGAATAGCAATGGGGAAGGAAATCCATTTCCTTACTCTCGTGGCTGGAAGGCTCCCAGTGAACCAAAATATATTTTTTCTTTTAAAAATTTTTTTGGGTTGAACTCAGGGCCTTTTGCTTGCTGGGCAATTGCTCTACACACTTGAGCCCTTTTGGTTTTAGTTACTTTTTAGATAGGGGTTCACACTTTTTTTTTTTTGGCCTGGGAACAGCAGTAGACCAGGATCTTCCTACCCCTGCCTCCCGAGTAGCTTTGCAGCATACAGGCAGGCCCATCATGCCTGGCTTGTTTTTTGAGATACAGTCTCACTAACCTTTTTTGCTTAGGCCAGCACAGAACCGTGATCTTATCTCCAAAGAGCTGGGATTACAGGTGTGGCTGCCTAAAATATACTTTTCTAAATGAAAAACTGAAACTTGCCTCCCTATAGCTTCTTCTGGTTGGATCTAATTTTGCTTTCTGAAGAGTCCTGAAAACAAGCTGATCATCAATGACACAGTCGCCATGTCATGTCACTGGCAGCCTCTCTCCCTCCCCTTTTCTATTAGACTGACTTTCCATCACTGGCTCATCAAACTCCTCTGCAGGTATTCCTTACCAATTCTCCATGATTTGATAACATCTTTCACATAATTCATACCTGTTTTTATGTAGGGGACTTCCAAAGTCATTTGATAATTGGTAGATACCATTATAAATCAAGGAAAAGGCCATTTTGTGATGATGTCTCCTTACCCAGGAGGGATGTTTTAAGAATTATATTATGCCTTTCTCAATTGTACACAATTATCCTTTTTTTTCCAGCTTATCTTTTGTGGCATTCAGAAGCCACTCCTGTTGTTACCAGTGCAGGCTGATCCCACTTGCAAATAAGGATGAGACAGACAGCAGCAAAGGGACTCGATCTGAACATTTCCAGCACTTTCTGACAAAGGGCTTTCTCTCCTCTTTGCTTCACCTGAATTGGGCCCAGCAGAGGATTTGACATGGAATTTGGCAGGTGGGTCCATAGGAGAACACAGTGTAATTACAGGCTCCTGGATGGTGGTTAATAAGACATACAAGACCTGGGAAAACATGACTCCTATTTGCAAGGCTGTCTTCTCTAATTTTCTGACTATACTTGGACATTCTTGTGAGAATTCTGGGGGGCAGAGGTAAACAGGGCGTGAGAAATTTCTTCCTCCTAGATAGCTAATCCCATCTGCCTGCTGCCTGTCTTGGTGTAGTTTTATATTTTACACAATATCCATGCATGTAGCACACATGGGTACCATTCATCTCACAAAGCCCGGGCTCAACTCTCATTCTTCTTCTCTGCAATCTTAAACTCTTAAGCTAGGTTTTAAACTCTAAAACACATCCAGCAGCTCAGCACCTGGGTAAGCATACGCCCTCTACCGGGAATTCTTCACTAGGCACTTTCTCAAGAGGCAGATTGTGCAAATAGTAGAGTTGAAATTCCACCACCTGCAATAAGCAAGGTGGCTTCAACCAGGATTTGTATACAGAGTCTTGCTGTTAATATTCTCCCCATGAGGAGAGCGGAATACACAGAGGGTAGGGACTAGCAAACATCTGAAAATTTGCTCACTGCTGACGCAGAAAGGACTTGCCATTCCTGCTGGTGAGGGAGCTCACATCCTATGCTCAGTCCTGGGCTTCCTCCTCAGGCTAGTGCCACCTAAGAGGCAGAAATGTTCCTTGCAAGTGTGACCCGCCCAGTCTATGCTGTCTCCCTGTCCATCCCAACCACTTACTGAGCAATGACAGCAGCTCACAGTAAGGGAGAAAATGGCAGCCAGCCCAGGACAGTGAAACGCCAGTCAGCCAGACACAGGAAGCTGGGTGCAGTACACACTGGCTGAGGGCTTACCATTGTTCTCAGCTCCTGACCAGGCAGGGTTTACCTGAGACTGACTCCCACAAACAGGACATGGCCTTCACATCTCTCTTTACTATGCCAGCAGTGACCACAGCCGTTCTTTCAAGGAGAAAATTCATGAAATGTGCTTCTTTCATCAAGATGGAGTTTTTATGAGCGAGAGAGGAGCACAGGCAGAGCTCCCCAACAGTCAAGTGAGGGGCTGACACTGAGAGCTAGAAGAACACAGCTCAAGTACAAACACTTGTCACTTCTCGGTTACAGCCTTTTCAGTTACACCCTTCATGCGGTGGGAAGGGAGAAGAATTTCTTATGTTTTGACTAATAGTTGCTGTTGAAATTGACTCAGTACTTCTGACTAGCAGCCCAGCACCAACTCAAGACCATATAGAATGGAAGCCTGGTATATGACTCTTCTTAAGCACAAGAGGCCTCCTATGTAACACATTTCTGTCATATTTACTCTCTAGCCTGCTGATTATTTTTTTCAGCTGTCTATAGAGTGAACATGTCACTATTATCCTTAGTCACTTGGCCCATCACCTTCCCCAAACAGGGTCACATACAGCAGAGGATTAGGGTCCAGATGCAATTCCAGGCTCTGCTGGAAATGATGCTGGTAGGAGGTTAAACAAACAAAGTTCTGCCTCTCAAAGGCAAGGATGGCCGTGAGATGGCGATGCACATGGAAAAGCCAGTGAGCTGAGCCAGACACACAGACGCCACGCAAGGAGAAGAGTGGAAATCGATGGTTACCTCTCTCTGAATCCAGGCAGGCATGAGGGAACAGAGCAGAAACAACAGTTAGCATTCACGCTGCATCCGCTGAGTAACACAACAACTCTCAGCACTGACTTCCCACCTTATTTCCCAACTTCTCTGCAATTAATAGCCTTTCAGTGCTTATTTTAGCCAAACTCTACCGCCCCAGAGGGTGTATTTTGAGCCACGTTACGTTGAAGCCAAGACATGCCAGCTGAATTTACAAGAGGCAACATATCAAATGGGGGAGGTAATCAGGCTGAAAATATCACAGGCAAATACAGCAAAGTGTTTGCAGTCAACACTGGCAGGCGGCTCCTCTTCATTTTCCAGCCCCACCTGCTCCTGGTGAGAAGCACACAGAACCGAGACCTGTGACCTTACCTGTTGGAACCCTCCGGACTTTCCATTGGTAGAACTGCAACATTCAAAGCCCGGGACCTTCATGAAGTGTACCCTTACAGGGTAATGGGGAAGGAGACAGAGCAGAAGGTCAAGGGCAGAGGTGAGAAGCAGACAGACAGGAGAGGAAAGCCAGAGGGTGTGGTGACAGCAAAGCACCAGGGAAGAAAGGAAAGAAATGAGGAGAGGAGACAAGGGCAGCTCAGGGTTTGGGACAGCACTTTGAGTTCTATCCCCAAAGCTGTGAGGGGATCCTAGTGAAGTCACTTAACCTCTGACCCTCTTCTGCTCTTGTCACAATTTAGAAAGACAGGGCCACCAAATAAGTGACACACATGCATTATTCATAGAGCAACTGCTGAAGAGGTGGGGAGCCCAAGATAGATGAAGAGGAGGAAGGAAGAAACCAGTATTTCCAGGGACCTGCTGTCTGCTGTGCCGTATAGCCAGGGTCCTGGAGGCCAGTAGGACAGACAGCATCATGGTGTGAGGTGCCAAGCAGGCACAGGGTGAGACACACAGTTGTAGCACAGAAAGGCAGAGCTGCACAGTGACACAGAACAATGACGACTGTGACATACAGCTACATGGGAGAAGGTACCAACAAACACGAGCTGCAATTATATGGTCTCAAATGAAAACCCACAAAAATGGTTAGAATGTGCATTTTCATGTATGCACAGCAGAAGGTCTGAACACAACATCCCAATTTTCAAAGCCATCATAAGAAACGAGATTAGGTGAGATGATGTGCTAGGCACACCACAAGATACAATGACCTTCGTCACAGAGATGTTACAGGGTGGCATTTGCCACAGACTTTCTGCTGTGGAGAGACAGTCACTTGGAGAAGGGGCTAGGTCCTCCCTCAGAACTGCTGGACACCACTTCCCACCAGATGCTGGGGTCACCTCCCACTCAGGTCCTTCCCCACTCCCTCGGCCCATCTACCAAAGTCAGTCTTTGGAGACAATCTGTATTGCCAGCAAAGGACCTGGGGCCTGCATTCAGACCCCAGGTTGAACAGAGAGCTGTATGACCTTGGGCAAATCATTGACCGTTCAGGTTCAGATTTTCATCAGAAAAAGGTGTAAGCGCTTTGAGAAGAATGAGCAAGCAATGTTGCTCTCACCACCTCTCGATTTATGGCAAAAGCTTTTAAATTCTTTCTTTTTTCCTTTTCTTTTCTTTTGTAGTTCTGGGGTTTGAACTCAGTGTTGAGCTTGCTAGGCAGGCGCTCTACTATATGAGCCCATGCCATCCATCCTTTTTTGCTTTAGTTATTTTTTAAACAGGGTCTCATATGTTTTTCCCAGGGCTTGCCTGGACTGCGATCCTTCATCCTACTTACACCTCCCTTGTAGTGAGTACTACAGAAATGCACCACCACACCTAGACGGTTTGTTGATATGGGGGTCTTCCTAACTTTTTTGCCCAGGCTGGCCGTGAACAGCAATCTTCCCAGTGTGTGCCACCTGAGGAACTAGGGTTACAGACATGTCAGTCCCTCAATTTCTTACTCTTAATGAAGTGTCCATGCCTGCTGTAGAATGAAAACTTTGCTCAAAAGCCTTAGATCTAAAGATGGGAGAATATCGCTTGTTTCTTTTGTGTATAATTACTATTGTAACCTTGGATATTTTAAATCAGCCCCATTGCTAGAGATTCACTTAAGCAAATAACATTGCTATATTGCCACCGTGTTTTCTGAGTTTTTCCAGAACTCAGAAAAAAAAAACACTGCAAACTTTGAAGACAGTTAATTCTTTGGGTTAATAAATACTGCTTGATGCAAGTGTTGAAGTGAAAACCAGCCATATAAATAAAGACTTCAGAGGATGTTTGAAACGTCATTCAAAAATCCAGAAGAGTCGTAAGCAGCAGCAGCTGTTCCAGCAATTCAGCACCTTGTAAATTTTCTGGGGAAAAACCATGAGCCCAAAGCTGGGCTTCGGGACAAGATAAGCCATTGTGAGCACAGAGAAGCTAAATTTAGAGTCAGGCGCAAGCTTACTCCCTTCTCGCTGTAGTGGAAGAATTAAGCCCCACGCTTAACTCCAGGAGCCTCACACCCCAAGAATGCCTCAACAGCATGCTCTGGATGGCTGCTCCTTGGAAGATGACTGCAAGAGTGACTGGCGATGTTTTACTTAGCACAAACCTGAAATAACGGGGTGACTTGGCACGTGTAACTGGGCATCCAAATGAATAGGAAAGCCCTAAAAAACAACAATGGGAAAGGCGGCCCTGAATGACAGTCCATTCCAGCATTTTGGAAGAGGACACCATCTTGTCTTGCTTCCTGGCAAGGCCACCTGCTTCTTATGTGACACACAACCACCCACTTTTCATACACCAATCACACAAGGCAAGGCCTCTCCAGCACCCTGCTTGGCCACTTTTGCATAAGTCTCTGCTATGTGCTTTTTGCTGCTTGTTTTTTTTGAGCCTCTGGTCACAAATCACCATTAGTCACATGATAATGAAATATAAATTAGAAAAGTGTCGGGAAAATTCTTGCTCCTATACCTGACTTTTTATTTTTTCCCCAGTTTCACATTTGCTTACTTTTTTCCCCTCCTTGTGACTGACATTTCTTAGCTTGGTCAGGGCCCTCAGCCTCTTTGTGTTCCAGTTTCTTCATCTGTAAAATGGCACAGCAGTGGTACTCACACCCTGAGAGCAGTGAGGATTAGGCTTCACCCTGGCTGGCAGCATGGAGCTCACGTGCAGCTCCCAACACCCTGTGGGAATGAGAGGGGACTCATGCCAAGGGGGTGGCTCCTTGCTTGTTTGAAACATGGCCTCCTTTGGAATCTGATGACAACAGTCAGAATGTGACCAGATTCCCAGTTTTTTTTGCAGTTTTGAAAGGGAATGGAGCTGGAAAGGTTCAGTAATTCCAGAAACTCATTCAAGGCTCCTGGAGAATGTATACCCCACAGGTGAAGGCCTAAGAACAGAAATAAATACCAAGTTTATGCAAATTTCCCACCTGGGAAAAGGGTCCATCCTTCTCAGGACCAAAGGGGGCGGGAATACCTACCTGCCTCAGACCACATGTGATCCTTCCCTTCCTTTCCCTTCCTTCCCTATCCTCCTCCTTCTCTATCTTTCCCTTCCTTTCCTTTCCCTTCCCTATCTTTCCCTTCTGTTCCCAAAGCGAGCTCTGTTCTGCCTGCTCCAGTGCCATGCAGAGTCCAGCCTTTCACTGGGACCAGCAAGCAGAGCTCCACCGTGGAAAATGAGACTCTGAGGATTTCCTGTGGTGGGAGGTTATTGAAATTCAAGGCACATGCATCTAGTCAAAGCACTTGTTCATGCCAATGGAGAGAAGACACCATAGCTAGCTGACAGCTCACTGATGGGGGGCAAAGGGTATTTAGAAGCAAGCAGGAAGTAAGTATTTTTTTTTAAAAGTCTATCTTTGAAGAGACAAGAATGGATGAAGTTTAACTTTTATTTTAATCTGTGTTACAGATTAAAACCAAAACATAAAATCTTGCTTCTCTAAGAGAAAGGACACTAAACTTACATTTAATTCCCAAGTGAGGGGTGGCTCATGCTAAGTTAGGGTTTTGGTGAAAAGTTTGGGAGCTCATCAAAGAATTGTATCAATTTTACCTGAATTGTGAAATTATGGCTGGCTTCCTTCTTGAGATGGGAAAACAAAAACAAAACCACTTGCTCCCTGCGGACTCCCCTCTGAGAGTACAGGAATGTGGGGACTTAAAAGACTTTGACATAGAGTTGGGGAAGCTCTCCAAGCCCTGCAAGAAGTGCCTAGAGGGCATAAGCCTCTAGCAAGGCCCAGCCAGGGCTCCTAGTTAAAACTAAGGTGCTGGGCTGGGGTAGGTGCCTGCCTAGCATGTACTGAAATGAAAAGCAACAAATAAAAAATTATAAAGCAAAACCATACTGAGCCCATGGGTGAATTTCTACCAACTCCATGCACCTGGCCACATGGAGGGCCTCTTGTGGGTAAAGCCACATCTTCAATCACATTCTGGGTTTTCAAGGAGACTCAGGACTATCACCACAGTGTTCCTCACCCCATTTCTTTGTGCAGGCGGAAGCAGATGGGTAGCTAACACAGAAAGCCAATAAATTTGGCCTTCATTTAACTCTGTTTACCTCCATCTAAGAATTCCTGATATTCTACAAACTCAGTATCTAAGGAAAAATGAACATCAATAACAGGAAGACTAATTGCTATTAGTAAAATAACAATGGTAGCTCCCATCTACTGACTATTTCCATCTAGCCAGGCTCTGGACCACATTTCACAAAGGAGGAACCCAGGGTTCAGATGATTTCCGTTAACTTGCTCCATCCCCCTTACCCCCACCACAGCCAGCAGTGTGGATCTGCTACAGAGCCCAAGGTGGGCTCCTCCCCTCTGCCCTGTGGTTTTGGGGCCTGATCCTCTCTCCCTTCTACTTAGTTGTCTTTGCTCAGGATTCTATCTGTCTTCGACTTTGGTTCCACCACTGCTGGTGCTGTCAACAGTATGTGCTGTATTTGACTTACATTTTCTTCCTTGCTATCCTTGCTTACAAATACCCAGGGAGAGTTTACCCTGCCTCCTCCACCCCACC